GCACTCATATACACACAATCGCTCTTTCTCTTTTTCTTTCAAACATTCCCATTCACACACTAATGAGGTTCTGGTGGTTCTATACATATATTATATACGAATGCACAAATGTTTTTAGTTTTTTTGTGTTAACATTAATACACTGCGAAAGAATGTGATCAATTGAACCGGTGCTTCCCACAGGTTTGAACTATATTTGCGGTGGTAACCTGATTGAAACATCCTTTACCCATGGCACATAAATGGTTAACTACATGTGACACAAAAAGTTATGTGATTTTTAACAATACTTTTATTCATTATCATACTGTTTCACACCGTTAGTTTTTTAATAGGTTAAAGTAAAAAAAAAAGACTTAAAATGAAAAGGAAACCACTATTTTTCTTATTTTTATGCTATTTAGGAGCCATCTGCACATAGCTGCACCCTCTCTCGCATTCTCTCTTTTCTCTAGTTCAGGTTGCTTTATTGGCATGACATTTAGTAATGGATTGACAAAGTATTTTGGATATGTATTAAATGTGTAATATATCATCATCTAATGAATAACATATACTGCAAATGAGAAATAAATGACAGAAAAAGTAAATAAAAACAGACAATGTCTCTAAAATGGATATTTATTAATAATTAATTAATAATTAGAATATAATAGTGATCATTCATTCATTTTCTTTTCTGCCTTTATTAATCAGGGGTCACCACAGCGGAATGAAAGCCACAACCCAACAGTGGGAAACACCCATACACTCTTGTATTCACACACAAACACTACGACCAATTTAGTTTATTCAATTCATCTACAGTATACCACATGTCTTTGGACTGTGGGGGAAACCAGAGCACCCACGCAAACCGGGAGAACATGCAAACTCCACACAGAAATGCCAACTGACCCATTCCTGGACTTTTTAGGAGATTTAGAAACACGGGCCAGATGCATTTTTAAGCCTCAAAATGATTCATCTCTTTGGGTCTTTGCAGTGCACATAAGACTGTCTGGGGAAGTGTTGTTGACAGTTCTTGTGCACATGAGCAGTATGAAATGAAGCGAGAAAAGATTTTCCACTGGTTAATCGAACGTGGATGTTTGGTTATCTTAGGCGGATACAAAAAAGTGTAAAAGGATGATAATATTGGTGAAAAAAAAAGTCTTAAAATATACTTGGGCGGCCGTAAATATACTTGGGTGGCTCACCCAAGTAAAGTCTATGTGTGGGAAGCACTGAGTTGCAATTAGAAAACAATTAGCAAAGGTAAATTCTGTAATAATATTTAGTATAATGATATACAGTTGTCAATTCATTTTAACATGCACATCATATGTAATGTATTATGTAATGTAATGTATTATGATAATTTGATTGTTTTAAACATACTTTTGCACTTTAAACTTTTTCTGTTGTTATTTTTTTTATATAAAGATAAATGTATTATAGTTATTTTAACATTTATCTTACTGCCAGCATAATTTTTTTCCCCTCTGACCTCATTGTAGTGCATTCTAGGATTTCCTTCCACAAAGTAGGCATGCAGTTCTAGCAATTTAGTCAAAAGAAATTACCTTAATTATGCCACACACTTTTCAGTATAGTCTTGGCGCCAGGTGTGTGTCTGTGATGACATAAAATGCTGCCTGTGTAGACAGAACTCTAGATTTTGTTACAGAACTCATTAAAGAAGTGATAGACTGTCAGGTATTAGCTTTATTTACAACAGTTGTTTTTGTTTAAACGCAGACTGAGAAATTTGGCCAAGTGACTTATGTTAGGGAAGGTGCCCACACTTCTACTGGTATGCCTCCAGATGGGAATAAAAAAAAACACAAATAGCCCTGAAGTATTTTTCCAGAACTTGCTGGCCAGTCGTATAAATCTCATCTTTCTAATCTGCAGTTCACTATGCTTTCTGTTTAGCATCTAGTATCCGTTTTTTGATTTGTTTGTGTTGTATGTTCACTTTCTTCCTTCTCTTTTCTTGTACTCATCGTGACCAGCTGCTCTTTTAGCATAGATACAAGTTTTTTTATTCCTGACAGGTTTGTTTATTAACATTCCCTTCTGACTCTTGCCACAGATGTTGATACTGTAGGCCTTTGGTTGGTTTGTACCCAATTATGACGTTAGAGGTCCATTTAATACACTGAAAAAAGAGTTGCATGCAAAACTGTTGCAAACAATATATTTGTGTTGAATTTAAATAAACAAATCAAGTTTAATAATGTTTAACTTAATTTGTTTGTTTAAATTCAGTCCAAATAAATTGTTTACAACCACTTAACGTAAAAAATGTAGTAAATCCAAGCAATCATCTTTGAATAATTTTTTTCAGTGTAGGGAATGTTCTTAAAACATTTGGGCAAGGTTCTCTAAGCAATAAATAAATGTTCTTCCAGTAGCATTATTGGAATGTTTATTAAAGTTATCTGATCCATAATGATGGTCAGCACAAAAGAACATTAGCCTGGTTATATTTAATGTAAAATCTGTTAAAACTGAAATATGTTCAGATAATACCCAAAAGTAACTTTACCACACAGGTTGTAAAATGATAAAAGAAAGATGTTTCCTTTTCAAATACATAGGCGAGAATAAAAATATTTTAAAGGAGATAAATACAGTTCAGGCTGACGCAGTGGCGTAGTAGGTAGTGCTGTCGCCTCACAGCAAGAAGGTTGTTGGTTTGAGCCTCGGCTGGTTCAGTTGATGTTTCTGTGTGGTGTTTGCATGTTCTCCTTGCATTTGCGTGGGTTTCCTCTGGGTGCTTCAGTTTCCGCCACAGTCCAAAGACGGGTATGCTAAAAAAATCTTCCGTAGTGTATGTGTGTGAATGAGTGTGTATGGATGTTTCCCAGAGATGGGTTGCAGCTGAAGGGCATCTGCTGCGTAAAACATATGCTGGATAAGTTGGCGGTTCATTCTGCTGTGACAGTCTTAGATTAATCAATGGACTAATCTTAAAAGAAAATGAATGAATGAATGAATGAATGAATGAATATATACAGATAAAGTCAGAATTATTAGCCCCCCCCTTTAATTTTTTTTCCTTTTTTAATATTTACTGAATGATGTTTAACAGAGCAAGGAAATTTTCACAGTATGTCTGATAATATTTTTTCTTCTGGAGAAAGTCTTATTTGTTTTATTTTGGCTAGAATATAAGCAGTTTTTAATTTTTCAAAAAACATTTCAAGGTCAAAATTATTAGCCCCTTTAAACTACATTTTTTCGATAGTCTACAGAACAAACCACTGTTATACAATAACTTGCCTAATTACCCTAAAGCCTAGTTCACACTACAGGATTTTAAACATCAGCAGATCGCTGTGCTGTTCACACTACAAGACTTGACTTTGTGTCTTTTGATCTCTGTGGTGTTCACACTACGCAACACTCCGTGAACGATCCACAAGAGGGGGGTCACACACTACATGATCTGACAACATCTCATTCCCCATCAGCTCATTCAAGCTACCAAACCACAGCCAATGAAAATTTAAGGGAGGAGTCGTCAGAAAAAGCTGAACACTATTGGCTGCTTGTGTGCGGATTACATCACTGACAGCGTTTCAAGCTTTGGAGAAAGCATTTAAAAACATCGTCAAATCAGCTGATTTATGAGCGGATTAATCACTCATCTGCAAGGTTCGAGTCGATAGATACACAGAGAGTTTTTAATTTTTGTAATTTTATAACTCTTTGAAATAAAACTAACATATTTATAACACCCTGCCGTTTTCTAACTATCAGTGTATTTCTTTCTGACATTGTTATTTTTTTTATTACAAAACAGTAAAGAACTGAACATTTCTGCCTTAAATTATCATATTGGTCAAAATGACTGCATGCATGTCTGATACTTTTCGCTGTGACTTTAAATATGTGTGCATTTTCTTGCCTGGCAACTTCCTGCTAACATAAACAAAACTTTCTGATGGCAAAAACATCAATTTACTTCAGATATCGTTCAAAACTGCATATTCTGTGCTGTTAAATAGTTCCTGTTTGAAAGTGAAAATGAAAGCCAAGCCTTTAAGTGTTTTAGTATCTTAACTACATATTTATAGGCTGCATTACCAAAAAAATATTATATTTTAGGGTAATGGTGTCATTAAATATGATGCCAGACATTCAAAGCTTAATTTTAATATCTCAATAATAGCTTTGAATGTGAATATGTTGTGACAATATGGCGTTTCATATGAGAACGATCAGAATGAGCAGTATGGTAATTCTAATAGTTACAGAATTCTAGTTCCACTGATAATATAGCCTACACTCATGTCTGTGCTAACGCAGAATGAAGCGAGTGCACCGATGCCCATTCTGACCAATCACAGATGTTTCTGCTGAGCTCCTGAACACACAGCCATTCAGCTCATGCTGATCTGCTCTCTCATTGGCGGCAGCTCGTTACTACATCTGACCACACGTGGGGTTGAGTCGGCCGACTGCTCTGGAATATTTAGCATGCTGAATGTTGGATTTCCGTCTGCGAGGTGTCGGCGACGCGTCAGCGAGCCTCGTTGATGCGTTGCTCAGTAGTTCACACATAAAGAGCGGCGAGCGCCGAGCACCCGCAGATTTCTTCCCGATCACAGCCCGATCGGTCGGCGAGCTCGTTAACTTCCAAATCAGGCTCAAATCAGGCTCAAAATCCTCTAGTGTGAACTAGGCATAACCTGCCTAGTTAAATTAATTAACCTAGTTAAGCCTTTAAATGTCACTTTAAGATGCATAGAAGTGTCTTGAAAAATATCTAGTCAAATATTATTTACTGACATCATGGCAAAGATAAAATAAATCAGATATTAAAAAAGAGTTGTTAAAACTATCATGTTTAGAAATGTGTTAAAAAAAATCTGCTCTCTGTTAAACAGAAATTGAGGAAAAAATATTCAGGGGGGCTAATAATTCTGACTTCAACTGTATGTGTATAATTCAATGAGGTGCTAAATGTTCAAGCTGACCAATTTCTCTCTCCATCTCTCTTTCTAAAGCCTCCAGACAATGGGCCTCCTCCTTTACCGAGCTCCTCTCTTCCTGAGGGTTATTATGAGGAAGCGGTTCCACTGGGTCCTGGGAAAGCACCAGAGTACATCACCTCTAGTACGAACCGTTTTTCCACATTACACTATTAAGATGCCTGGCACATTTTAGAGCTATGTCAGTAATGTAACACCATCTGTGACCTAAGAATACCAGATCATTTTTGTATTCATTTCAGTGAAACCTAATAAGAGTCCCATCTGTATTCTCAGATTATGACTCGGACGCCATGAGCAGTTCGTATGAGTCATATGATGAGGAAGAGGAGGATGGGAAGGGTCAGAAGATGCGTCACCAGTGGCCATCTGAGGAGGCCTCCATGGATTTGGTAAAAGATGCACGTATCTGCGCATTCCTGTTGCGAAAGAAACGCTTTGGTCAGTGGACCAAACTTCTATGTGTCATAAAGGACAACAAACTGTTGGTGAGCATGCACACACTCACAGACATGACTGATGTAGTTTGCCCCATAGAAGGGTGCAATGTGAAGTCACATTCTAATGTCTTGTGACATTAGTATGTATCATACCTGTCAACCCTCCCGTTTTTCCTGGGATTCTCCCGTATTTTACAGTTCTATCCCGTTATCATCCCGTAAAGGTATTTTCTCGTATTTCTCCTGTATTTTCTGTCTTTCTCTGAAGGGTGGCAAATAAACATTAAAGAGCTGAGCCTCTGCCGAACCACCAAGGGCCGCTCCTTTCTCCTAAATATGAGTCTGTTCTGTGCTTTCGCTTTGTTTAAGCATGAAAACACTATGAAATAAATATAAAGACGCAGGATTCCCTTTCTTTTTCATTAATGGTGCTGTATCCCCTTCATGTGCATTCCTCAAAACAGTCATATAGCAGTGCATGACTTTCAGCTGATGAGCTCAATAGTGATAAATAGACGCTCTTTCCTAAACAGATTCTGTACTCGCGATTTGAAGCGGAGCAAAAGTCTGGGTTTTGGGTGCGTGTTTAAACATACACATAATTAATAATAATAATATCTAAAAATGTCGATCTTGGTGGTTTTATTTTTTCAAACAAAACTAATTTCGTCCTAAATGAGCACAATAGTGATAAATAGATGCTCTTTCCTAAACAGATTCTGTACTCGCGATTTGAAGCGGAGCAAAAGTCTGGGTTTTGGGTGCGTGTTTAAACATACACATAATTAATAATAATAATATCTAAAAATATCGATCTTGGTGGGGTTTTTTTTTCAAACACAACTAATTTCGTCCTAAATGAGCATGAAAAATAGGTAAGCAATTGAGTGCCTTCATTATAACGTTAGATGTGTTCATTTTTAAAGTGACACCTCTGTTATTTACTGTAATCAAACAAAAAAATCTAAATAAATCATTCATTCTTTGCTCTTTAATCAGAATGTGTAAGTTATACAGTCAAGAAATGGCATAAAATCCCTTATTATGGTGGCCATATCCCTTATTTTCACTTCCCAATGTTGACAAGTATGGTTTACATTGTATGATTTACATATACATTGTTTGCTTGAGTATGTTTCACACACAGTTTATCCACTGATGCACATCTCACTCTCCACCATCTCATGTTTTTATTTCCTTTAGTGCTACAAGTCCTCTAAAGACCAGACTCCACAGATGGAGCTCCTTCTGTCCGGCTGCAGTATCACACACATCCCCAAAGATGGCAAGAAAAAGAAGCATGAACTGAAGATCGTTCATCAGGGAGCTGATGCTCTAGTGCTTGCTGTACAGAGCAAAGAACAGGCCGAACAATGGCTAAAGGTAAGCAGAGCATAATTCAAACAGTGGTATCCCTCAGTGCAGTGTTAAGTGATTGGCATTTTAATTCACCGGATTGTGTTCAATGATGAAAATATGGAGTAATTTATTAAAAATCAACTGTTGATAAGCATGTTTTTCAAGTAAACCACATCGGTATGTTTGTAGATTCAGCAAAGTTAAACAAAGCAACAGTAATCATCGGGTCTAGCTGTTCTCTGTTTGTGCTCAATTGGGTGTGTAGGGTTTAAAACAGTTTGGTCTTTACATACTAAATTCAGCACTGAGCATATTATTTTGCTTTGCACAAGATGTGCAATCTACTATTTAGATGTTTATATCCACCCAAGGGATGGGTGAGATTGCAAAAAATAAAATCTAAAAATTTTTTCTCAGAATGTTCCTGACTCAAAGATTACAAAGGGTTTTTTTAGAGTCAATAAAGGAATATAAAACATAGAAAACAGATGGTTTGCTTGCATTTCATATGCTTTTAATTAGCTGTGTCAAAATTAATTGTTTCTTTGGTGCACATACAGTAGTTGAGTTTTTACAGGTACAGTTCATATATCTGACTGTGTGTATTAAAGGACAAAGTTGTATTACAAATAATATGTAAACATAAATATATTTATACACTTTAATACAAGAATTGTTGTGCTGTGAAGAAAATATAAAACTGTATATGGAAAGCATCATCAATGCACCGTGATGCACCGAGATATAGACCAGTGTAGGTTCACACCTCCCCTCTTTATGTACATAAAACTTATTTTTTAAACCAAAATAAGACATTTCGTTTTTTGAAAAACATAAAAAAATTCTGCAATATGATTCTAGTAGTGTTATTAAAAAAACAACAACAACTTAAAAAGCCATCTGGTTAAAGAAAGTTATATTCTAAGTCCAACACTCATGAAGTGTTGAGTGTTGTAAATATTAATGAAGCATGAAAAGATTAATGATCTATTCTTTCTTCTGTACCAAAAACAAGAAATTCTAAAGAATGTTGAGGAAAAAACAGCCATTGACATCAATAGAAGGAACAAAAAAATACTATGGAAGTCAATGGCTGCTTTTCCCAACACACATACAGTATATCTTTATTTTTTTCTCAACAGGAAAAAAAATCACTCAAACAGTTTTTAAACTAATGAAGACTGAGTAAATTAATGTAGAAATGTCAATATTGCATAAACTATCCCTTTAGCAATAGTGCTAGTGAAAGTTTCTGGGCTCATATGTGATGAATCTTTGAGTTAATATTCTAAAAACTTACACTTCACAAAGATGATCAAAACCAGCTGCAGTCAATGGACAATTGATGGAAATCACAGTTCCCTCATTGCTGTCCATCACTCTTTTGGTTGTTCTGTTTATAAAGACATCATTCGTTGTAACCATCCCATTTATAAAGACAAAAGCAATAAGACTTTCTGAACCAGTACCATGTTTCCGTGTGGCAATGGGCTTCTGTTTATTGATTTGTGGGCAGGAAGGCACATGCGGCAAGCTATACAGCACCTTCAAGTGGGTGTGGATTGCACAGACTGTTCAAATATACAGCTCTGGAAAGCAACAACAGCCGTAATTGCTATTTAGGAAGGCAGCGTACATAGCTCTGCACTGTTTGGTCAGGTGTCGTGTATAGTGAAAACATACTGAAGTAATTGATTTGGGCTTGGGATAAACAGAAACCACCCTGGCTCGGAGGGCTTTGTTGTATTGTGTTTCATTCACGCACACACTGTACACCCAACAACTAGAGGGTGTTTAAGGACTCCATCTTAATATGAAGAAACACATTTGCTCTAACATTTAGTCTAGATCATTAATAAACTGGTAAATTATTAAACTGAATATTACTCTAACAAATATTTCGCTGTTTAATGTTACTGTATTTCTCCAGCTTCCGTTTAAGACCATTTATTTCCACTTTTATAAAAGTTATTAAAGTTGAAACAAGCAAACAAAACTTGATTGACCAAATTTGTATAAACTGTTTCATGTGTGGCATTTGGTAATATTTTTTTTCTAATCTTGGAGTTTTGAAAGGGTGATGAAACATTTCACTAGTCTAGTTCATTTAGTTATTTTTTTATATTTTACTACCTATAATTAATAATATTAATGAAACTGATATTTGATCTGATTGGTCAATCCATAGACATTTAAAAAAGGCACAGAGTGTCTACATTGAAAAAAAATACTTTGAACAAACTTTTAAAAATACGGTATTTTTTCAAAGTATACTTTAACTTTAGTTCAAACTTGGATCAAAACATTTAAAATAATCTAAATTGAATACATTTATTGTGGTCAAGAAATAAAATTACATTCACACAGAGTAAAAATATTGCTTGCTATTAAGACACTTTTATTATAAATTATTCATTGATTCATTTTCTTATCGGTTTAGTCCCTTTATTACTCTGGGGTCGCCACAGCGGAATGAACCGCCAACTTATCCAGCAAGTTTTTACGCAGCAGATGCCCTTCCAGCCGCAACCCATCTCTGGGAAACATCCACACACACATTCACACACACACACACTCATACACTAGGGACAATGCTGCATGTCTTTGGACTGTGGGCGAAACCGGAGCACCCGGAGGAAACCCACGCGAATGCAGGGAGAACATGCACAGAGAACATCCTCACAGAAACGCCAACTGAGCCAAGGTTCGAACCAGCGACCTTCTTGCTGTGAGGCAACAGCACTACCTACTGCGACACTGCTTCGCCTATTATAAATTATATTATATATTTTAAAATTTTTTATTATTATTTTTTATTTTGGTACAACTTAAAATTTTATTATAGAAACATTTGATCGTTATATTTTTGCTTTGGACCAACTCAAAAAAAATTACTTTAATACGTTAAAGCTTGATTAATACATTTGTCTCAAATGATAGTTTTGACTTGTTTGAAAAAAAATAAAATTATTTCATATTAATCAAAATATTATTAATTAATATTTTTTATTAATTTTTAAAAGTACATTCAATCAAAGGTAAAATGTTGTTTTTATAACCATTAATTAATTGAATTGCTTTGGTTCAACTTAAAATTAATATTTCAGGTAAAATTTTACTTTGGATAAATATATTGTACAGTACTATAATAAATAAAAATATAACAATAGACTTTTCAATAACAAGGTAAACCATCAGCTGGTGATTTCAATACACGTATGTTGCTATAAATGTCACACGAGATGATGGTTACCAAACTCGCATTAGAAATACGTAAACTGAATAGCACATAAACAATACCTTTTTCCATATAACCACATTAAATCAAATCTGCTAGTTTAAAGTAAAAATACTACTGAATAAAGCAGGTTATAATTGGAAACTATCATTTTTCACTTAATTTAATTTAAAGATGTACTCTATATGAAAAACAGCAGTTTTTCAGTTTATGTGTGTGTAAAGTGCTCAAAAGTCTTTTGTAGATAAGTGAAGGCATTAGATCACTAATAACCCAGTTATTAATAACTCTTGAATATTTACAAGATGAGATTGCTAGAGAAAGTGGTGAGTTTTGCTCTGCTTCATCAGTTTTAAAAAGTGGAAATAAGCTGTTTTATATGGGAACAATTGGATGCAGTATTAAAAAAAGGAAATAAAACGCAGATAAGGAGACTTTCATGGAATACTTTATGTCTTCAAACCAAATCGAGGAATATTATTGAAGCCCAGAGGCGTCTGTGGTCCCTTAATGCTTTATCCAGTTTACTAATGATTTATTTATGGAAAATGTTGGCTTGTTGTTTTCCATGATTCATTTTTGTTAATGCTTTTTAGTGTCGTATCTCTCCTCTGCACTATTTTCCTCTTTGTTCTCTCCGTCTATCTCTTCCAGTCTTCTTTTGTTCAGTTAGTACTCTCCATGTAGCTCTTCTGTTCTGATCTTTTGGACAGGCCTGGGGAAATTCCACCTCCTGTCTTTCTTCTTCTTCCCTCCGTTTATTTTTCTTCTCTCTTTTTTGTCATCTGACGCTCCTCCTCCCTGGGGCAGAATGGTAAGATATGGAGTCTTTATGTCTTCTAGTATATGTTTTTGTTTGTACGAATGAACGTGACTACCATATATTGACTTTTTTTATTGTTGTGAATTATATGCTTTCTGTTGGGCTGATTTTTTTTGCAAATGAGATAAGTCTTGGCTTGTGCGAAATTGTGTAATTGTCTATACAGGAGTAGAGAAAAGTTGCTGTTAATTTATAACACCAATAATCTGATCTTAGTATGTTTAAGACAATACTCTGATTAAGAGTCTACCATGTAAACATCGATTTTTGATTAATTTATTTGATTAGGGTCATAATCAAATTAAACAGAGAAATCGAATTAAGACATGTGAGGTATGCCGATTTTAGTTGCATTATTGAAGTGCAGTACAGACACCTCACTTAAACCATTACCATCGTGTAGGATTTTCGCAGCATTTTGCAACAGGATGGTCTATACACACTAGGGCTGCTCGATTTTGGGAAAAATCATAATCACGATTATTTTGGTCATAAATTTAATCACGGTTGTTCAAAATGATTATCAGTTGAAGTCAAAATTATTAGCGCTCCTGAGAATTTTTTAAAAATAAATATTTCCCAAATGATGTTTAACAGAGTAATAAATTTTAAGGATTCAGGGGGGTTGGTGGCATATGTCGCGGGAAAACTGAAGACCGGGATGGGTGTCGCTAGGGTACTTCAGATCACTTTGGAAGGGCACTTTCTCTTCAAGACTAAAATGGGCATGTGCACTGCACAGGTTGAGCCCTATGTGTGCACGTGCCTGACTGCATATATACAGTTATTTTCCACCCTGCAAAGGAAAGAGAAATAAATGCAATATAACAAAAATATGAAACAAACTGTGCTTTAAGCATCTTCACTGTAAGAAAAGCACTTTAGCTACAAAAGTACTTTAGTCAAGAGCAGTGAGGGATTTTCTCATTTTGTTTGATTAATGATAAAAACAGGCGGTAGCAATAATATTGCGCTGTCACTTTAATGGTTTCGCTTTCACATGTCTATTGATTCTCAACTCGTGTGTTTATTACACAAATAAGGGTTAATATGAAAAACCACTAGACATTGTGTTCTGACACCTATTTGACCATTAAAGTGCTCACGTTAAGATGACTTTAGATGTGTGCGCTCTGCTCGTCTCAGTGTGCGAATGAGAACGAATACTGACCGCATGCTTCTGACTCTGTGTGCGCGCCGCTCACACACACACACACATATATAAGCATGATGCAATAATTGTTTATCTCAAATAATGGTTTTTCATAATCATTAGAAGCTGAAATCGAAATCTGATTTTCAATTAATTGCACAGCCCTAATACACTCACAGCTGTTTGACACTATTCTCTGCACCTACCAAGTCAGAGACGGACCACAGACACCTGCATTGAGAAATGCATTGAGTTTTTTTTTGTTTCTCATACAGCATGAGGTATCAAATACCATTAAAACTACACTCTTCCAGCAGCTCATAAACATTTGTGTGAAGATATGTTTTAAAATTCATTCTTTCATTCATTCTATTTCTTATGAAAAAAAAAAAATTTCTTTGGCTTTTATTAATCTGGGGTTGCCACAGCAGAATGAACCGCCAACTTATTCAGCATATGTTTTATGCAGCGGATGCCCTTCCAGCTGCAACCCATCACTGAGAAACATCCATACACACTCATTCACACACTTACACTACTAGAAATTTAGTCTACCCAATTCACCTGTACCACATCTTTGGAATTGGCGGGGAAACTGGAGCACCTGGAGGAAACCCACGTGAACACAGGGAGAACATGCAAACTCCACACAGAAATGCCAACTGACCCAGCAAAAGCTTGAAACATCGACCTTCTTGCTGTGAGGCGAACATGCTACCCACTGTGTCACCATGCAGCCTTGTTTTAAAATAGTAAGAAAAAAAGCGATTTCTCAGCTTATCAATAAATACCTTTTTAGGTGTAACATCCCATTAATCATATGAGATTTAAATGTAAAATGGAAACTGTCATTGGCTTTGCTTCTCTTCACTATTGTGGTGGTTTTCCATTGCAGCTCAAAGTTTAAACATTTACAGTTTGTTTGACCTTTAACTCTGACTTTTTGGTTTTATTTTACAAAGTAGTTCTCCATATTAACTCTTCTATGAAAACATCAATGCTAATGAGGCCACATTAGCACAGCACAAAAGATTTTTAGACTGAGCGTATCCCAGAAACCCACTTTGTTGCAGTCAAAGCCAAAGAGTAAGGCCACAGCCTGCAATTTTCCCATGAGCCCATTTATGGAAACTGGTAGCCAAACCTCAACGTGCTGCGTCAAGTTACGGTGCTCAGAAGAGCTCAGTGACAAGGATATTTGGTTATACTTTATTTTATGGCATGTGGGCAATTTGTGAAGGCGTTAAAGTGAGCTTCTCTTTGTGACTCTGTATCCATCTAGTTCACTCAGTCAGTATCACTGGTCATGTTTTTTTGGATGTAACCCCCAGGTAATTTGAGGTCACGCTCATATATGGCGACAAGCAGTCTGTGCAGTCTGTAAATCTCTGGATATCTCATTCACACTGAGCCACTGCACAGCACATAGACACAGCCACGAGAGCAATGACGCATGAAACAGCCTTCCAGCTGCACTTCCAACTGCATGTGACGTGCAGGATCTATTTGAGCGCATGTGCATGGCAGAACGTGGAGGTGCCAGAGAGTTTGTGGCATGTTTGATTGGGAGCAAAAACAGAGTTAGATTGATATTTGCTGGGTTCTCACTGGAAATATAATTACAATTAACTGTGCCTGGAAAAAATGTGTAAGTCTCGGAAAAGTGATAAAATATTAGCAATTTATAATCTGAAAAGCATATTGTAGCAGTTTGGGAGTTTCTCTGTGTGCATGTAATGTTTTATAGTTTAAATTAGAGATGGAATTGTTCTGGTTCAATTGCACATGCATTTTTTAAAATTGGAAATACATGTTTTACAGTACATGAGAACTGTTAGATCAAGCATTACAAATAGTAGTATATTAGTCAACAAGAAAACTTTCATCGAATAAACCATTCAACATTACACACTCATGGAAGATGAGAACAGTGTTGCAATTAGTTATAACTAATTATTTACAGTTAACTATATAATTAAAATTATAAAATCGTAAAACCATAAAATATATATAATATTAATGTAGTCTACTTTATTTGTTCCTTTATTAAAAAATTGTCTATCTTTATTTAATAATATAAAAATCATATTGGCCCTAAACACTTGCTCTAAGTCTGTAAAATAATATTTCTCTAGACTAGTTTATTTGTTTTTATTGTTTTCTATTTATAATTGTTGACGTTGAAATCATATATGAGATTAATTTATCTTTATGAGTGCAGTCTTCCTGTATTTTGCAGCTACACTGTAAAAAAACTGTAACTTGACAGTTTTCTGTATTTTTTTTTTGTGATTTATGTTTTTCTTTTTCATTTATTTAGGCTTTTGAATTACGTTTTGGGACCTTGATCTTTCTTCCAACAACTTTTAAACTTGAATAATTGTGACATTTATAAACATTTTTAATTGTCTGAAGTAATATATTCTCTGGGTTGATGTATATTGTGCTGCAAAACCCTGTTAATAAGTTGCCAATATTTTCTGTTATTTTACAAGCTCCTTAACAATGTCTTGTCTTAAACTACAACAGGGTGTCCGCAGAGTCTTAAAAAGTCTTAAAATGTTTTAAAATTCCAAAAATGTTAGGCCTTAAAAAGTCTTAAATTCACTGAAATATAGCGCTGTATGTCTTAAATCATTTTAAACAGCTCTTAATTTTTTTCTGTCCAAGTGAAGCTACCCAATCGGGCAGACATCCATCTAATCACCAACAATCCATCTTAAAAAAATCAGGGAAAGAAAACCAAAAACAGTTCCTCATGATAATAACAGAGCAAAATATCCCTTAACGTTATCTTCCATTAATACAAAATCTCTTTACAGAAGAAAGGGCGAGTAGACATAATATTTATAAATAGCCATGAAACTTAAGGTTGTAACAGAAACGTATAGGTTGAATAGAAGTTACTCTATCAGTTTAGACCAAAAGCCAACAAATATATACTTTAATTTATGTAATTGTCTCCACAATAAATAAATAATACAAAAAGAATTATGTTGAAAAGTGTATACAACTAGAGTTTTCTTGTTTTGTATGTTGCTAATTTTTATTTTTATTTTATTTTTTGAGGCAAGCTAAAAAAAAAAAAAACTAAATTCCATTGGGCCATTGGAAATAATCGTTAGTGTTTAGCCCTGCATAAGTCTAAAATTTAATTTACAATGGTCTTAAGGGTCTTAAAAAGTCTTTAGTTTGATTTGATGAAACCTGCAGAGTCACTTTTTTCAACTGCAGAGTTGAATTTTCTACATCAAAAGTGGACAGAGCAGAGATCAAGGTCCTATAATGCAATACATAATCATAAATATATGGTACACACAAAACACGGAAACTGTTAATTAACAGATATTTTTTACAATGTACATCCCAGATAGACTGTACATGCCAGATAAAGACGTATGGTAACCTGGCTATACATAATTAAGATATTTTTAAATTTGTGTGATTGTTCATAATTTTATACAATAATCACATGAGGATTTCTGCTCTTTATTTTAAATAGAACAAGCCATTTCATTAGATTTCAATATGGAATATCGAGTTTCTGCCTTTTATTTTGCACTTTAACTTTCTGTTCTGTGGTTTCTTAAAGGTGATGAAAGAAGTCTGCTCGAATGGAAATGGAGTGGTGGATTGCGACGGAGCTGGCTCTGGATCCACTGTTCACAAGGCAGAGCTGGAAAAGGTGCAATTTCATAATTATATTTATGGATAATACTTTCTGTGTGTGTGTGTGTATTTACCATGCCTCCAGACGATACGCAGGTCTACCTACATGCAGGTTTGTGTGGCGGTTTGCATGCTTGCCAGCTTCACCACTCCTCAATACCGGCGCCTCCTCTCTGTACTCCTGTACAGTGGCTCTGCCAGGGCATGGAGGGCTATAAAAGCTGCATATGCATATACCAAATTCCATCGTGCCACGGATGTGTGCCAGGTTAAATACTGTAGGTGTGACGGGAAATGTGATCTTATCTTTTTAAGAACACATTCTTTAGTACTGGTAAGCTGTGACATTATTTTTGCAGCGTGTGCGTGTTGCACTTGTTTATGCGTGTGTTTTAAGATATATCTCATGGGGTTTAATGTCAAACCTCTTAAACTGGCACAGCATGCATGAGCCTAGTCTAATTATTCACACTTAATGCAAAACAGATGCTCTTTGAGTTTTGTTTGGGTAGACTGTCGAGGTCTAAGCCTGTGGGGTTTATATCCCATAGTCTTTGTGTGTATGTATTTAATGTGTCTGTCTATAAACAATTTGACAATAAATTTAGGAACGAATGCCGAACACTATTGTTTTTGGAGTTCAGTGTGTGCACTTTCCTCATGAAATGTGTTTTCTTTAAAACGGCTATGGATATCTGAAACATTATTCTTGTTTTGCAGAAGCTGTCCTGCGATCGGCCCAGTTCAGATGGAGAGCCCTGCCATGAAAACGGCATCTCAGATGGCAAAGATCCAGGTGAGTCCTCATGTTGACTTTTTTTGTTTGGAACGCTGGAGGTCACTGAGTAAAAGGTGATAAAAGGAAAATGCATGTGTGTGTGTGTATGCTTTTTCAATGTAGTAAATCAAAATTTAGCACATATATGGTTGAAGTCAGAAATATTAGCCCCCTGTTTATTTTTTTCCCAATTTCTGTTTAATGGAGAGATTTTTTCAACACATTTCTAAACACAATAGTTTTAATAACTCATTTCTAATAACAGTAAATAATATTTGACTAGATATTTTTCAAGACACTTCTATACAGCTTAAAATGACATGTAAAGGTTAATCTAGGTTAATTATGCAGGTTAGGGTAATTAGGCAAGTTATTGTATAATGATTGTTTGTTTTAGGTATCGAAAAAAAAAATTTCTTAAAGGGGCTAATGATTTTGACCTTAAAATTGTTATTAAAAAAATTAAAACTGCTTTTATTCTAGCCGAAATAAAACAAATAAGACTTTCTCCAGAAGAAATAAATATTATCTGGCATACTGTTAAAGTTTCCTTGCTCTGTTAAACATCATTTGGGAAATATAAAAAAAAAAGTTCAAAGAGGGGCTAATAATTCTAACTTCAACTCTACATATAAAAATACATACTAGCATACACATTATTATAATTAGCTGGCAAGCATTGGCTGAAACAGATTTGACTAAAAGATGAATCTTGAATTTTTAAATTACTACAATATAGAGCTGCACAATTAATCGAAAAAAGATCGCGATCTCGATTTGACCCCTAGACGATCTTAATCCAGCATTTTTTACGATTCTGCCAATAATAATTGCAAGTTCAGGGGACAAGCAAAGGCGGCTGCACGAGTCTTTCACACACATTGCTCAGCGACATTGACACCTCCAAATGATGTTAAAAGAGTCACATACGCTATTCATAAGGTATAATTCACCCTAAAATGTCATTTTTGTCTTCATATAATGATGTATTCACTGCCGGGAAATCACACATGACGTGAGCTGCTGACTGTGCAGGCGTGCGTCCCACTTAATGACAGACGCGCACGAGTCTACTTTAGTGAACAGAACCCTCATATGCTGTGAGTAACAGGTAATAAAGTTGTAAATAATAATCCGTTTGTGGCATAGAGTGATCGTTTGAAAGCCGCGCGCAAAGTATGAACAGCACTTAGCAGTGAAAATGAAACTGTAAGCGTGCATATCATATAAATAATCCTATCGCATTTTACAGTTATGACTAAGTTTTCTTTCATAGGGAACATACAGTTGTGAAAATAAATGTTTACAGTATCAGTATAACTACACTAGCCTATATAATGTTGATTTTACCAGTGAATTAAATGGTCTTATAATGTTGTCAATGACAGATTGCAAGCATAGGCCTTTATCTAAAACATAATTCAACATCAGAATTATTATAAGTAGAATATAATTATTTATAGAAACCAGTAGAACTATACATAATATTGTTGTTTTACCATATGTTTGAGAAAAAACAATAATCTCATGTTAAGCTTCATTTTACATCTACAGAATCGTGAAAGAATCGTGATCTTTATTTTAAGCTAAAAAAATCGGGATTCTCATTTTAGCCAGAATCGTGCAGCTCTATTGCAATATGAAATATATGATTTGATTTGACTGATACATATATAATTGTTTTCAAGTATTTATATATGTTATGTTTTTAGTAGAGTTTGAGTGACAGTTTGATTTAATAATTAACATTTTAATATTTTAAAACTAAATTGTACTTGGAATTCTGTCATTTATGTTCCAGAATTGCTTTATTTTACGACAAAAATGTGTATTTATGTATTATTTTAATTCATGGAGTGATTGTTTAGCCTGAACTCGAGAAAAAGGTTGGTAAAACAACATAAGCAACAATGCTTGGAAAAAAGGACACTAATAAATTGAATTCCATTAAAGTGAATTTTATTTGACTTGAAAGGTTCCATTGTTCCAACAATGCCAAAGTCAAGGCAATGAGACCCTTCTTAAATAATCTAATAGGATTATTTATCTAGTATTTACACCACAGTCTCAATCTGGGATTGAGCTTTTCGGGACATCTGTTTCAGGTCTGTGGAAAATTTTTTTTTTTCACAATTCAGACTTGCCTCAGACTGGTTGGTGAAGAATTGCCTAATTTGAGTGGAATCCAAAACTTTTGAATCTGCAAGCTCACATGATTGATAGTGCAGCATCACAGTAACAAGCCACAGTAACTTATGTGCTGCTTTTTACTTTACTGACCTCAATGTATGGATATAAAGTTAGAGTCAGAATTATTACCCCCCCTGTTTATTTCCCCCCCAATTTCTGTTTAATAGAGAGAAGATTTTTTCAACATATTTTTAAACATTCATTCATTTTCTTGTCAGCATTGTACCTTTATTAATCCGGGGTCACCACAGCGGAATGAACCGCAAACTTATCCAGCAGGTTTTTACACAGCGGATGCCTTTCCAGCCACAACCCATCTCTGGGAAACATCCACACACTCATACACTATGGACAATTTAGCCCACGCGAGCACAGGGAGAACCTGCAAACTCCTCACAGAAACGCCATCTGAGCCGAGGTTCGAACGAGCGACCCAACGACCTTCTTGCTGTGAGGCGACAGCTCTACCTACTGCACCACTACGTCGCCACATTTCTAAAAATAATAATTTTATTAACTTATTTCTAATAACTGATTTATTTTATCTTTGCCATGATGACAATAAATAATATTTGACTAGATATTTTTCAAGACACTTCTATACAGCTTAAAGTGACATTTAAAAGCTTAACTAGGTTAATTAGGTTCACTAGGCAGGTTAGGGTAATAAGGCAAGTTATTGTATATTGATTTTTTGTTCTGTAGAACATCGAAAAATAAAGCTTAAAGGGGATAATAATTTTGACCTTAAAATGGTTTTTAAAAAAATTCAAAACTGCTTTTACTGTAGCCGAAATAAAAAAATAAGACTTTCTCCAGAAGAAAAAATATTTTCAGACATACTATGAAAATTTTCTTGCTCTGTTAAACATTATTTAGGAAATATTTAAAAAAGAAAAAAAATCAAAGAGAGGCTAATAATTCTGACTTCAACTGTATATTCGTTTATATAATAATTCATGCAAAAGTCTAAGGTTATAAATGTTTATATGTATAACAAATTTAGGGTAGCGTTTTTGGCAGCAGATCTCTCTCTGATCTCTTTTGTTTGAAAGCACCTGAAATATTCTTTCATCACACCAGCAGCCAACTGCTGCACCTCTCCGATGAAAGATGGAAGAAATTTGAAAAGAGCCATGCAGATGAATCAGATTCGTCATATTCTTTCCAGCTGTCGTAAGGGCTAAGACGCTGTGAAATCATATTAGCCTGATCGCAGAATTTTCCCTCATGATAAAATGAAGAACGGTGCCTGCATAGGTCCTTTAAGGGCCAATGATTTTTGCATCTGTGGCTCTGTGGCTCCTGCATGCCTGAGGCTGCTGCGCAGAGACAGAGAGGCTTTAGAGGACTCTGAGTTCAGATGGGCTCAGATTTAATTAAAGGAGTCGCCAACTAAGATATAATCTTCTGTAGTGGAGCTTGGACGAGGTCAAATTTTTAGAAGAGCAAAAGTTTTTTATTTATTCTTTGTCCATTCATGCTGTTTCTGCAGTCAGATATTAGCTCTGTTTCCATCAACCTATTGTTGTGCATTTGGGAGTATTGCATCAAAGATGCATAATGGAAACGCCAAGATGTGCATACATTTGAACAATGTGTGTAAAAATATATGCACACAACTGAGTAGGATAAACTTTTTAAGCCAAAAGAAATTACAGCTACTGTTTTTCTTTTAAACATTGTCTTTATTGATTTAAAGAGCTTTTAACTATGGAGGACCAAAACTGCAAAAACAATAAATAAATAAATAAATAAATACACAAATTAATGAATAAATGTTTAAATCTACAAATTCCTGCATAAATAAATATATAAATAATTAATAGGGCGCTGTAAAAGTGGTAAAAATCTACTTTCAGTTTAGCATTTTCTTATTCCCCCAACCTGCCTGGACTACATATATATTTATTTATTTGCACATTTATTCATTGTTTTATTTATGCAAGAATTCATGTATTTATTAATTAATGTATTTATTTTTTTGCATATTCATTTATTTGTTTTTGCAGGTTTCATCCTCTATATTAAACATGTACTACAGAAATCTAAACCAAACACACAAAAAAGTATATATATATATATATATATAAGACATATATATATACACAAACACACACACACACACACACACACACACACACACACACACACACACACACACACACAAATATATAAGTAAATGCATGTACTTACACATACAACATAAAGGTAAATCATATAACAACAAAGGTATACAGTATCAATAGCAGGTCATACAAGTTATACAGACAAAAGATTTTTGTCAGTGTCCTTCAGGAATCCTACAAAGGGATTCCAAATTTTGAAAAACTTTTCAGGTTTTCTCTTGATGGTATAAGTTAATTTTTCTGAAGCTAAACAATAAGACAATTCCCACAACCATTGTCCAAAATGTGGACTCCAAAAATCAGCCATTATAAGTTTTGCTTGTAATAAACAGAAAGTCAACAGCTTCTTATCTGAACTAGTAAACGTGCTTGTAATTAGGACATTTTGGGTATATCCTGTTTTAATAGCAGTCTCCTTCAAGTAAACTCTGGCTTGGAGATATGACTTCTACAATACATTTGGAGCGAATTAGGAAACAAAAATTTGGCAAAATCTGGCATCCTTTTTTCCTTTACCTTGACAAAAATCTTGTGAACTAATGCATCATTTTATGCAATGTTTTAATATTTCTTTTCATCATATTCTGTTGTTCAAACAAGTCTTTGTAAACAAGTTTTTTGGAATTGCTTGTCATATGGGTGGGGGTTTTTTATTGTTATTATCTTTTCAATTTTCAATTATTGTTTTTCTTTCTTTGTTTATGCAACATGGACAAAATTTGTAAAACAGAGAATCCTTTTTCCTCAATTTCTATCTTCAATAAAAATAAATTTATGTCACAAAAACTTTTTATCCAATAAAAAATGTGCATAAACTATTGTATGATTGAAACACATTTGCCGAGTCCAGCATGCGCATCAAAAAAGTCATGTTTTAACAGATCATGTGATAACAAAAATGGGAGTGATTCTACAGCATTAATGGACAAACCGTCTGACCACATTGTAAAACATCTTGCTTTGACCATTCTAAAATTCCTTAGTACCTCATCAAAGCGGTATGGTATTATTATTACCCCCAGAACCCCCAGAAGTCTTGAGCGGCTGAACTACCAAAAAGTCAACATAGGCTCATTCTGAAAACTTAGCTCTATATACGTTTTTAGAGATTGGAAATTACTGTATGTAGCCTTAAGTACGTATGGGTGCATTTCCTTTATAAAAAGGAATGCTGCAAGGCAGTATGACGGCGTTCCTTTTCGTGCTTACCAGCTGACTACTTACCTCCGTATGGACAGCTTTTCCACTGTTACCAGTTTGTCCAGTGCCTCGCCATGTACGTCAGCGGACTTGAGACGCAGAGAGGAGTTGACCACGGTGATAGGGTTGGAGTCCATTGAAGAATGGTTCCAGAAAGCTTGTGAGACAAAAACAGAATCCAAAAAAATGAAATAAGTAAATAACAGGGTGAAAATGTGGTAAAATCTGAAACGTGGTAAAAAATCAGGCAAAGGCTTTTCTTTTTGTGAATTGCTTTTTAAAACTGCCTGTTGGGTTTAGGGAAGTGGGTGGGTGAGTCGATCTGTGCTTTTGAAAACATTATTGGTTGGGTTTAGGGAGAGAGGAGGGTGGGTCAGTCAGTCAAACAGTCAGTTTGCCTGCGGCCTCTGGTGAATTTACACGAGAAGAGCAGGCGCAAGAAAAGATACTGGCACCTGCGCACCTCTGGTGGATTTGTGAAAACAAACACTGCAAAAAACGTAGCTCCTGGGATGTATTTGACGCTTTTAAAAAATTTATATAGAGGTACGTTTTCATAATAAGCCTGGGTTGTCTCCAAAATCCACTAAGTGTTCATTGCGTTTCATCTTTGCATGTATTTTTGCATGTTCTTACTAAGAAAACTAAGAATGGCAAGTCAAGATCTCAAAAAACAAGGGCTGCGTCCAAAACTGCATACTTCCATACGATACAGTACGCTAAAATCAGTATGCGAGTCGAGTAGTATGTCAGAATTCATAGAATTCAAAAATCAGTATGCAAGAAGTACCCGGATTACTTACTACTTCCGGTGAGATTCTGTAGTGCGCATCACATGCACGCTGAGCTATCTCATGATGCGCCTCGAGAGAATTCATGAATGGGAGTAAAGCGACGCAACTGACGCAGGTAGGTCAGGTGATGATGACAAAATGGCAGATGTAGTACGTCCGAATTACATTCATACTGCTCACATTCATACTGTAAAGAACGTACTTTTCTAGTGGCTGATTAGTACATTTAAATTCAAATGCAGTACCTACTGAGTAGTAGGCAGTTTCGGACGCAGCCAATTTTTCTCTGATTGTCCACTGTTGGTTAGGAAGTGGATGTACTCTGAATGGATTCCACTGTGTGTCTTTGCACTGTCTGTGCTCAAGATTGTTTTCCTACATGATTTATTCTTTTAACAATGCCATTAACTCAAAACCACACTCAGATTAAAGCTACAAAGCATCTGAACAACTTGGAGAAGAATTGAGTGGGTTTCATGCACTGGATTTGGAGTCAATTTAGCATAATTCTCTCTGGCCTAAATGACAAACATTTTAAAGTGATCAGACTGCCGTTTGTCATTTTCCATAATTCAGTCTTTCCCTCATCAAATCCACCCCAAAAACTAAATGTTTTCCAAACCCATCCCTTGTTAATAGTTGCAACACCAACATATCTGTGTAAAATATTACATTATAAAATCCCATACTTATATTTCATGCTCTGACACTAATTTGCCTCTTTTTTTGCAGCTAAAGGCAAGAAGAACTCTAAATCAGAGCAGAAAGGCACTGTGGGACGTGTGACTGGAAAGAAAATCACAAAAATCATCAGCCTAGGCAAGAAGAAACCATCAACAGATGAACAGACCTCATCAGCGGAGGAAGATGTCCCAACATGTGGTGAGCGGTTGCAATACCAGGTTGATATACACTAGCATTTAAAAGTTTGGGGGCTGCATTTATGTAATCTGTTTTCAATTCAATATATTTTAAAATGTAATTTATTCTTATGATGTCTTTCAAGAGTCTATGATCAGCATTTATTTGAAGCAAATTTACTGGCACTGTTGTTCAGTTGAATCCATCCTTACTAAATAAAAGTATTTGTCTCGTGGTACAGTAGTTAGTTATGTTCAGTGATGACAGTGGCTTTGTTTACACGGTCCATATTTATGATTAATAATCATAATTATTAATGTAACTCAGATTTGCCTTAAATGAACAGGTAGAATAATAGATTTAAAGACCAGTCACTAAAACCAATCACTGAATATTGTATATAGACATGGTGTATAAATTAACAAATATCAAGTTTTTGTATTGTGTATTTTAGGATTTAGTGTTATCTCTTTGGGAGCTTTTGCAGTTTTCATCCTCTTAGATATGAAGCCAACATTTAGTGTAGGTTTTTTCTCTCCTTCACGCAGACCCATTACCCAAAGAATGGGCTTTTCTCTCTTTATAACCACAATATAACTGTTTTTATATTTATATAACCTTATGGGAGGTCATTATTGTTAAGACCTTGATAGTCTTAACAATAGTGAATGGCAGTCTTCAAAATATTTGAACGACACATTCCATGTGTAGACTGTAATATTTGTTCAGTGTGAGTCATTTCAATGAGTCATGAAATTGATATTGCAGTGTCAGTCTCATTCTCATTCTTTATTAATAACCAGGGAGTGCATGAGCATGAGCTTCTGACTGTATGTTAATATCACTAGCAATATATGGGCTCACTATCTCACTATGCTCACTGAGGACAGTGTTTTTTTTTTTTTTGCAAATGTTTACTAATTTACTGTAGTTTTACCTGTACCATTCAAAATAACATTAATAATAAGAAAACAAAGTTAACTAAATAATTTCATTACTGAAACGAATTCTGAACAAAGTATCTGAATATATATATACACTCACCGGCTGGAAGTAGCCATCAGAATATGGGTACACTGTGGTCATAAAGGAATGGACATGGTCAGCAACAATCCTCTGGTAGACTGTGGTGTTGACACGATGCTCAATTGGTACTAATCGGCCTAGAGTGGATAGATTCAAGGTTTCATGTTGTTGGCGCCAAATTCTGACCCTACCACCCGAATGTCCCAGCAGAAATCGAGACTTATCAGACCAGGCAACGTTTTTTTCCAATCTTCTATTGTCCGATTTTGGTGAGCCTGTGCTAATTGTATCCTCAGTTTCCTGTTCTTAGCTGACAGGAGTGTGGTCTTCTGCTGCTGTAGCCCATCCGCCTCAAGGTTTGAGGTGTTGTGCGCTCAGACATGTCTTAATTGTAACGAGTGGTTATTTGAGTTACTGTTGTCTTTCTATCAGCTAGAACCAGTCTGACCATTCTCTTCTGACCTCTGGCATCAACAAGGCATTTGCACCCACAGAACTGCCGCTCACTGGATATTTTCTCCTTTTCAAACCATTCTCTGTAAACCCTAGAGATGGTTGTGCTTGAAAATCCCAGCACATTAGCAGTTTCTGAAATACTCAGACCAGCCCATCTGGCTCCAATAACCATGCCATGTTCAAAGTCACTCAAATCACCTTTTTTCACATTCTGATGCTCAGTTTGAGCTGCAGCAGATCGTCTTGACCATGCATGCATGCCTAAATGCATTGAGTTGCTGTCATTTGATTGGCTGATTACAAGTTTACATTAACGAGAAGTTTGACAGATGTACCTAATAAAGTGGCCGGTGAGCATGTGTTTGTGTGTGTGTGTATATATATATATATATATATATATATATATATATATATATATATATATATATATATATATATATATATATATATATATACAGTTAAAGTCAGAATTACATTTATTATTTTAAATTAAATTTATTATTTAAAAATATATATTTATTGTTGTTATTTATTATTATTATTATTATTATTATTATTACTTTTTTTCCCAGAGATGGGTTGCGGCTGGAAGGGCATCCGCTGCGTAAAAAAGTGCTGGATAGGTTGGCGGTTCATTCCAGCTGTGGCGACCCCGGTTTAATAAAGGGACTAAGCCGACAAGAAAATGAATGAATGAATAATTACTTTATGTATTAATATTGATATGTATTTAAAAAATCATTTAAACTACTATGCTATTCCATAATAATGCTCTTTTTTTACTTACTGGCTTCAAAATTTGAAGTGTAGTGAAAATTCAGAATTTGTTTTGGCTGTACATATAATTATTTCCCCAAAGTCCTTCATGCAAAATAATTAACTTACAATATAAATTCTTAGCACACTTGTCAAAACTTCCTCTCATAACCCAAATCATCAACACCTTTCCACTCTGCGTGTGTGTGTTTCTACCCATTGCCTGTCACATAAATCTCTCTGCCCACTCCTCCATTAACAGGCTATCTTAACGTGCTGTCCAACAACCGCTGGAGAGAGCGCTGGTGCCAGCTAAAAGACAACCAGCTGTTTCTGCACAAAGATCGAGCCGATCTGAAGACGCACATGGCCTCTCTGCCGCTGCGGGGCTGTGAGGTCATTCCAGGCCTGGACTCCAAACATCCCTTCGCCTTCCGTCTACTGCGCAATGGACAGGAGGTGGCTGTTCTGGAGGTACGGGCCAAGTCCCTCAGCTTTTCACGGGTGCAATTAATGTGTCTGAGACGGGACCTCAGGGCAGGGATTAGATGGATGGTTTGGTTGGCTGGCCCTCGCAATGATGTCAGTGCTGTATCATGTGTAGAGTGGATTTGCAGAGATCGCATAGGGTGGAGCTTTATGTGTCTCGTATTTCATTGACACTCATTCATTGCCTTTTCCCATCAGGCCTCCTCCTCTGAGAGTATGGGAAGGTGGTTGGGGGTCTTGCTGGCTGAGACGGGCTCCACAACAGATCCCGCTGCACTCCACTACGATTACATTGACGTAGAGACCACTGCTAACGTCATTCAGCTGGCAAAGCAGTCATTTTGGTGAGAGAGCCTGCATTACTGAAAATATTTTTATTAGCATGCTAGTTACTTTTCTTAACAGCCTAGCCATTTTTAAACTAGCATGTTAAAATATCACATTGTATTGCAGGCATAGCTTTACAGCCAAGTGAGTTGTGGTAGTAAATGTTCTCTCTCGTACAGGATGTAACTCTGGAAAGTCTGATTCATTTTACTGAATTGGTTTATTTGGAGAGTTTGGGCAAATAAACCAGTTCATAAAGAACTGATTAGGACAATTTGGGCAGAGGTTTTCTGTGCGCTTTTTTGTTAATATATTAAATATACAATAAATATTTATAAAGATAATATCTACGGATACATTTATTATACAATTATTTGTAACACTTTATTTTGATGTACCATTTGACTATTAGTAGACTGCTTAATATGTTGATACTGCTCCTTTAACAGACATTTAACTGACAATAAGAAACTTTGCAAGTACATGTCAACTTACACTAACCCCAACCCTAACCCCAACCTAACAATCTACTTATAATCTAATGAGAATTAGTTGGCATGTAAATGAAATGTAACTTAAATTCAACAAACGGACCATTAACATGAAGTGTGACCCAATTATTACACACATTTATCTGCAAACTTAAATCTGGTTATTTATAGAATTAGAATTTTTTTACTTAAATTAATTGTGCGACCTTATGGTAATATAACATTTCCAAATTACCACCTGCTTTGAATGTTATCACACGATTGAATTAGCGTTATCAGTGGTTATCAGAAGATAGATATGGGCCAGTTTGGGCCTTCTGCGCCTACTGGCAGGCTTTAGAAGGCTGTTATCATCCATCCACATGGTTAATCAGCTATACTAAGTAGAGATGACTCCAGATCCAGATCAGTTTTTACATTACTGTGATGGTTGGGTTTAGGGTTGGGGTAGGGGTAGACGTTAATAAAGTACAATCAATAAATATAAAAATAAAAGAAAAACATCTACAGCACATTTCATAAACAGTGGCAATTCAAAGTGCTTTACATAAACACTGTGTAGACAGTTTTTCCATATTCCGAAACACCGGTGTATCATATTTTCTTATTTTACTCTGGTACTTCCCCATTCTGGCGATCCCCCCCCCCCCCCCGTGTGTGTGTGTGTGTGTGTGTGTGTATGTGTGTGTGGACTATCCTGTTACAAGACAGTACTGCATTTCAATAATGTGACTAAAATCGCTGAAATTAGTAAATGTTGAAAATAACTAAGATGCCTCAGACATATTTTTATTGTTAGTTGTTAATGATTAACCATTGGATAACACTTTAGTTTAGATTACCATTCATGTTATTAACTACTGGCTTATTACCTGTCAATTATTAAGAAATTGTTCATTAGTAGTTATAAAGTATGATCCTGTTCTGCATCCCTAATCCTACCCAAAACCTAACTTCTACCTTACTCATTATTAATAAACAGCGTATTGGTAGTTTAATAAGCTAGTAGGGTTAGTTAATGGTTTGTTAAATCTGTGAATTGTAACCTAAGCTAAAGTGTTACCAACTATTGTTAGTTGTTAACATGTTAACTAACACATTAAATCCTATTGTAAACAAATCTTACTGACCCCACACACCTGTATGATATTGAAATATATTTTTAGTCATAATGTTTAATTATTTCTAGGTAGAATTTGAGCTAATGAGTGTATTGATGTGTTCTCAGTTTCACCAGTAAGCGTGCAGTTTCTCCTAACCCATACCTGGATAATCCGGTCAATGGTTATGCCTGTCCCACTGGGGTCGCTCTGCATTATGACGATGTGCCCTGCATCAATGGAACGGTACACATATACTTTAAAACCATTCAGTTCTTACCTTCATTCCTTATCCTGCTGAACTCCTCCTCATTCTTGATCCTCCTTAACTTCTGTTCTCCATTTCTTATCAAATCACTCTTCTCTTGCTTGCACGCTTGCAATATGGAAGATACCAGATGCACACTACTCCTCCCCAGCTTCAGGGGGCCGCCGCTGGAAAGACGAATCTCATTATGAAAATACAGATCTTTATGAAAACATGCCCTCCCCCAAACTAGCAGCTCGCTACTCTCCCAAGTCCACCCGCACATCATCTTCCTCGGGGCATTACAGCACACCAAACTCCACCAAATCTCTGTCTTCTTCCTCTGCTGCTAATACTAACACTAACCAGGTGACTAACCCAAACTAACACAGTTTGTTTTAAAGGTACAGACCTGTATCTTATTTTAACTTTAATAAAAGACAATGTTTTTACATTTGCTGATCAATTTTGAGATTTTTTAAAATATGCTTTCATATTAGGCATGGGGTAGTGTAAGATTCTGACGGTGTGATAACCTTGGATAAAAATAACATGGTTTGATAATATTATAATTGTATTGTGACAATACTGCTTTAAAAAAATATTTTTATATGTCTGGGTAAAAACAAAACTTTTTTCCCCCCTTTGAACACAATATGTTTTATTTTAAGAAACATTTATAATATTTTGTAGCAGAAAACACATCAGGCGATTATTGGCTTCTGCTGTCTTCATTAGTTTCAAAAACACAGATTTCTTTACGATTTAAAACGGCATATTTGGACATTTTCTGCCGAAGATACTGTTATCCTAAAAAACAAAAAAGGGAAAAAAAAATCTTACAAATACCTTAAAAAATTTTACCGGTTTTAAAACCTTGACTTTTCCAAACCGTGCTATACCTCGAAAACGGTTATTGTCCCATGCCTATTTCATACCATGTTTTTTTTCACAAAAATGAAAAGAAAACACAAAATACACTTTTAAGTGTTTATTCCATTGATCGTAGAACTACAGTTTATAGGCAATACTCAAATGTTTGTTTCCCTTATTATAGCCAGAAATGTAAAGTTAATAAACATTTTTCTACATAGAGACTTCTATTCTGAAAGTTTTTATAGAGGTGATTGCTCGTGTATGTTTTATACATTACTTAATCGCTCGCTGTATTGTAAAAAAAAAGTATATATACACTGTAAAAAATTAAGCCAGTACAACAAAAGAAAAACCCTACATAATCCTTATTTTCTTTTTCTTTTTCTCATTCACTCAATGTTTAAAATCATCAGGTTTAAAATCATCAGCTGCACTGACCTCAAATTATTTGTCAATAATACAAAAAAAATTTACTTAGGCTAAAATATGATTATTAGATTTCTGGAGAGGTGAACTACTCTGTAACAAAATATTTTAAATTGTGCCTACTGAACATTTTTGTCTGTAGAACTGGAATGCCTGAGTTGAGTGAAAAAAAAACATAATCCTTATTTTCTTTTTCTTTTTCTTGTGTACTTAATTTTTTGAAAACATTTGCTCTGACCTAAAATGTTTAAAGTTGAGTAAACAAAAATCTCTTTTGGAAATTAGTACCTAGAAATAATACATTAACAGAACAAACAAACATAGTTTAGTTGAAAAAAAAACTTATTTATTATAACTTATTTATAACTTATTTATATTTATTAGTCACAGAATTAGAAACAGAACAGGAGGCAAAACAATAACGGTAAACAAGACAAACATGGCAGGACAAACAGGGAAAAATGCTTTGTAATGCTTCACAGGGGAAAAAACAAGACTCGGCAAAGAATCTGTGAATGAGGTGTCTTTATAGTCCTAGTAATCAGTCCATCATGAGCTTCCAGCTGTGTGTATAATCAGGGACTGGTTCCTCCATTTGAATTATAGTTTGAACAGTTGATTTGCCAGTTAATTATTACAGAATTTTACTAAGTTATTCAAATTAAATATCACATTTACATTTGATTTCTCATTTGAGAATGCATTTTGATCTCATTCATTCTTTTCGGCTCAGTCCCTTTATTGATCAGGGGTCGCCACAGCAGATTGAACCGCCAACTTATCTAGCACATTTTTTATGCAGCGGATACCCTTCCAGCTGCAACCCAACACTGAAAAACACCCACACACTCTTGCTCACACTCACACACACTACGGCCAATTTAGCTTTTTCAATTCACCTCTAGCGCATGTCTTTGGACTGTGGGAAACCCGGAGGAACCCACATTTTGATTTATTATTTGGAAAATATATATGGAAAAACTTCTATATGTGTATACATCAGTTAAATAATAGTCCACCTAACAATCCACATGCGTTAAGCGTTTATTTTTGTCGGACAACCCCTAAAGATAAATTACAAATAATAATGAATAATAATTTAAAAATATGTTAATAGTATTGCAGTAGTATTTTGTTGTTGTTGTTGTTGTTAATAATGACAAATGTTATTATTGGTGTTACTATTTTTTTTATTGTTGTTGTTGTTAGGTGTAGAAATACTGCAACTTTTATTTAAAAGTGAGGAGCTCTGAGATTAACTCAACTTAAAGTAAGAAGTTGACTGAAGCTTTTTTGGTTGCTCACAAAACTTATCTTTTTAACTTAATGAAGAAAATTTTGATTTAGGTCCAGTAAATGTTTTTACAGATTTACAGAAACCAACACACAGACAAAAAAAAAAGTAATTTAAACTTTTTTCAAGTTTGATTTTTTACAGTGTATATTTATATATTTCTTTCTGAACATTTCAAATTTCTTTCTGAAAAAGATTTCAGAAAATTACACAATAAAAACATGTTTAAAAATATGACCTTTAACTTCTGAAAATGTACTCCTTATACATTTAATTCCTTGTTTTTATATTTATAACAATTCAAAAATCAATATAAATAGTAATATGTTTGAGATTCTTGATTAAATACAAAATGTATTGTCATAACGGTGTATCTTGGCCTAAGTTAATATTATAAACAAACATATCATGGAAATAAAAACACAGAACACAGTGCATGCATTATGGACCACCCAGCACCAGAAATGACTGCCTTTGATCTATGTAATATCCTTGTCTGTGTGGCTGTGGCCTTGCATAGATTTACTGAGCCCTTAGTTTGCTCTAGGTTCAATTTTATAGGCTGGGGATATAAAAAAGATGTTTGATGCCAGCTATAATGTAACTAAAAAAAAAAAAAAAAAACCCTTTAGCAACATGTGTGGTTCAGTAAATGTGGTTTGCAGCAGTCACCTTTGAAAAAGTATTTGTATGAAGTTGTAATCTTAGAACTGAATCACAAATGACATACTTAAAATATAACAGGTGTTAACAGTGAAATCCTTATATGTCAGATGTTTGTTAGCAGCCCATATATCAGTTTCTTTTATGTGTGTGTGTATTCAAAAGTTCATACTTTTTTTTTCATCCAATCAGATGAAAGGGAAGAAAGGCTTGATCACCAATGGTTTCGGTGCAAAGAAGTTGGACAAGAATCAACCCAAAAAGGCCAATGGCATTAGCAGCACTCTGCCAGTGAAGCGTAACAACTCCAGTAAGAGATTTTAACATCTAGAACATATCTGACTGATAATCTCAAAATGATCCCTTGCTTTCTTTAATAAGTGGACATTCGGCTAAAACTAAACTAAGCAGACATCAAGTCTGCATCCATTTTCCTTGCTATTACACCACTAATTTCTTTCAAGGAAAAAAAGAAGCCACACAGATTTGTGGAGAATGCTGGTATGTGGAAATTGCAGTGCTGTTAGACAGCAGTGGATCTGTTGACATGCTCTTTATAAACTCAATCACCCCAAATTCCATTTCCAAAAGGCAGCCAGTCAGTCACATCCTAACCATCCAGTGGCCATTTAGGTGAACTCACAAATATTTGGATTCTGTATATTCTGCCTGCCTTTTAATCTGTACTTGCGGCCCCAGAGGTCTTTAATGCAATGAAGTGAGTCCAAATGTTAAAAACAGAGATTTTCTAATGGTTTCTTTTGATTCTAATGCATCATTAACCTTCACAGGTGTAGATCAGTATAAGTACGGGAAAAACAGAGTGGAGGCAGATGCCAAGAAACTCCAAGCCAAAGAGGAGGAGCTGATGAGGAAGAAACAGGAAATCCGAAACCGCCTGACCCAGCTGAAAAAAGACAGAAAGGACCTCCGCACTGCTTTAGAGAACAACACAGGTGAGGATCAACTAAGTCAACTTACTTGTCCATTATCTTTTTCATGGTTAATGATGAACAGGGTTCAAGATAACAAAAAATACTTGATGCACTACTACTAATTAGTCCTCCAGGTCATTAAGGATGTATTTAAAGGCATGGATTGCCCAAAAATCTCAATTCCATCATTATTTTCTCACCTATTTCTCTCCTAATCGATGAGTTTTTTCTTTTTCAACACAAATACAGATATTTTGAAGAATGTTAGTAGCTGGTACCCATTGACTTCAATAGTATGCCAGAAACTACCATTCTTCAAAATATTCCTATGTGTTCAACAGAAGAAGGAAACTCATACAGTTTTGAAACCACATAAGGGAGAATAAGCAATGATTTAATTTTCATTTTTGCGTGACCTATCCCTTTAAGACCTGTTTATTATTGCCCTAGTAGATGAGAAGAAAACATCCTTTATGGCTTTAAGGGCAAGCCCAAAAGTGCAAAGCCCAGAGCTCTCTTCTCTAACACTGTCAGTGTTTGGGGTGGTGTTGGCCTCTCGCAGAGTTTCCACCCATTTGCCACTCATGAATATATCTTTATCAGTTCAGCTGCCAGCATGCTCTTTCAGGACAGCAGGTTAACTGCCTCTCCATCATCAGATTTTAAAACTGATTTTGCTTTCACAGCATTTTGCAGCATGGAAACCTCTACCAAACATCACTCCTTGGGATCTGAAATCTATAGAATCACATGATGGAATTGCAATCGGCTTGTTCTGAAAACGTAGCCTTATATACATTTCTGGAGATTGCAAATTATGTAGCCAGAAGTATGCATCCCTGCATTTCGTCTATAAAACAAGCTCTACGGGGTGGTATGACGCAGTTTATTTTCACACTTACTAGCTGAACGCTTACCTCCATTTTGACAACTTAAATATTTTGAAACCTATTTTAATTGCTCAATATTAATAGCCCCTTTAAGCAATACCTATTTTTGATAGTCTGCAGAAGAAACTACTGTTATACAATGACTTGTCTAGTTACACTAATTAAGCCTTTGAATGTCACTTTAAGCTGAATACTAGTATCTGAAAAATACCTATTAAAATATAATGTAATGTCATCATAGCAAAGATTAAATAAATCAGTTATTAGAAATGAGTTATCAAAACTATTATGTTTAAAAATGGGTTGAATAAATCTTTCCATTAAACAGAAATTGGGGGGAAAGGGTCGCTAATAATTCAGGTGGGCTAATAATTCTGACTTTAAATGTATGTATACATAGTTATTTTCCTCCCTGTAAATAAGGAAAGGGAAATAAATACAATAGAATAGAAATATTAAACAAACTGCCTTAAGCATCTTCACTGTAAGAAAAAAACATTAGCTACAAAAGTCCTTCAGTCAAGAGCAGTGAGGGATTTTGTCCTTTTGTTGTTTGATTAATGATAAAAACAGTTGGCAGCAGGAATATGGCGCATTGTCACTTTAAGAATAGTGCAGCTCTGATATGGTTTCTCTTTCACATGTCTTTTGATTTTCGACTTGTTTTATTTATTACACAAATGAGGATGAATAATCATTAAACACAGCGCTCTGACACAAATGTGCATATATTTGCACTTGCATTAAGATGCAGTTAGATGTATGTGCTCTGCTTGTCTCTGAGGCTAAGCGCGCACAGTTAGCTCGCCATGTACGTCGTCAGACTTGAGATGCAAAGAGGAGTTGACCACGATGACGGGGTTTGAGTCTGGTGAAGAACGGTTCCAAAAAGTGGGTAGACAAAACAGAAGCCAAAAAATAAAATAAACAAGTAAATAACAGGGTAAGAACGTAGTAAAATATGAAAATGTGGTAACAATCAGGTGAGGGCTTTAGATTTTGTGGATTGCTTTTTAAAACTTTTAAAGCTTTTTAAAAATTTGGTTTAGGGAAGTGGGTGGACAGGTCAATCTGTGCTTTTAAAAACGTTATTGGTTGGGTTTAGGGAAGATGAAGGGTGGGTCAGTCATTCAGTCAGTCAGTTAGTCGACAGCGGTGGATTTATGTGAGAACAGCAGACGGGAATGGCACTAACAATAGAAATATGAGATCTGAAAAAGCGTGCACGTCAGCCTCTGGTGAATTCACGAAAAACAAAAACTGCAAAAAAAAAAAAAACATTTGGCAATTGGTATTTGGGAATCTCCAAAAATGCATAAAATGGTACGTTTTCAGAATAAGCTTGGGTTGTGGAATTAGGTTCAAAACTTGTCTGTCTTATTACAATATGTGCTGCCCGCTAGGGTAAAGCAGAAGCAGATTCAATTGCTTACAGTGGAGCTTCAGCTGCTTACAGTGGAGCTTCAGCATCTTTTGTGGAAAGAGGCAAATAGCAGCCATTATTTCTGGTTAGATAAAGAGACGAAGGCGGGTTGGGTTTTATTCTAGATCTGAACCACCATACTCATTAGAGTTACCCAGACGATGACACCGTCAGCTCTGTGAAACTGCCCCCAATAGTGGACAACATTTCACAGTTGCCCTTATATGAGCTTATCATCCTGTTGTTTTTGAAGACTTCACTCCTGCACCTCTTCACCCCTATACCTTCACTGTTGTGGAGGACGCTGAATATGTTTAGTCCAGCCCAGACTCATCACACATTTACATCTACCTTTACTCATTTAGCAGACACTTTTATCCAAATTAACTAACAAGTAAGGATAAAAGAAACACTTCAAATCATCAGAGAGTCGCAGTATACAGTATACTGTATAAATGCTACGATAAGTCTAAGTTACTAAATATACAAGTAAACAAAAATATATATAATCAGTGCCATCACACAGTGACATTTCTGATATTATATCTCTTATTGAGGCATGAGTATTGATATTGATTTGACCTCACTCCACTAGGGGTTTTGCATCCTTCAAAACGCTTTTAAAGGTAGTAACATGATGGTTGTCATGAGAAGAATTATTCCCGCTTTTCTCTCATTTCTGCACATTTCTCTCAGTATGGTGATATGGGTATACAAGTTCCCATAGCATCAACAGCACTGGGTTGAGTTCTCTCAGAAGTACAAGATGCAATAGCTGCCATTTCAATAAGTGCTGTTATGAACTCACCTGTTTTATTCCCCTCAGCTAAGCGTTCCCAGGCATCTTTGACAGAGAGGCTTAAGAAAGTGGAGGATGAGTGCAAACTGAAAGAGGAAGAGCGAGTCAGTCTGGAGCTGGAGTTGACGGAGGTCAAGGAGAGTCTGAAGAAAGCTCTGAATGGTGGTGTCACCCTGGGCCTGACCATTGAACCCAAAACAGGCAGCTCCAGCCCACAGGTCTGGAAAAGCCGCAGTCATTACTCAAACATAGACATGATGTAATACTAACTCTAGGCTTGTTTTATGTTCCGTTAAAGCAAAGTAAGTATCAAATGTGTCTCATCTGTCTTTAGTCTCCAGTATTAATGAGGCGAACGGTGGACAACTCGCCCATTTCCAGCTGTAACACCAGTGACACGGAGACCTGCTCTCTGCCGGTCAACAGTGCGTCTCTGCTGCGCCGCCAGACACAACAGAAAGCCTCACCTGTGCGAGGTCACGTCCTCAGAAAAGCTAAGGTCAGTAAACATGAGAGTTATGTATATATGTATTACACTAGGTGTTAATCACACTTGCATTTGAAATAGTCCCCTGTGCACTCACAGTTGTTGTTGTTGTTGTTGTTGTTGTTGCAGGAATGGGAGATGAAATCTGGCACATAAGTTCACTTTTCCACAACCTTTCACTTTTGTTGTATCTATTTATTTAATTTTGTCCATATATGAGTGATGTTGAAATTGAATTGACTGAACCATAGACACAGTTTTCCAAAAAGAACTCTTGACTGAATCCAGTTCCCAGTGCTGCTGTTTTGTTATAATCATTATATCATTGGACCATGCTTTTACTAGAGCAATTAATTTACATGCATCATTTCATTTTATTTAAAATTCCTAAAATATGAGGAAAAAAACACTAATAATTTCTTACAATTGGGTCAAGAGCAATGCCACAATACCAAGTTACGGTAGTAAATACCCATACACTTCTGTTCAAAATTCATATTTTTAAGGTAATTAATAGTTGTTGAGCAAGAATACATTAAACTGTTCAAAATTGGGAATAATAATACAAATAATTAGGTAAAACTTTAGTTTTAGGACCAATTCTCACTGCTAACTTTCAGCTTATTTCATATCTGTTAATATAAAGGCTGTTTGTTTGTACATATAAAGTACATCCCTAATCCTAGCCAATAACTAAACCAAACTAAGCAACACAGGCTCATTCTGAAAACGTAGCATTATAAATGTTTCTGGAGATCACAAATTATGTAGCCAGAAGTACGCTGCATGCTGTGCTGTTGTTAAGTATGCTGTTTTTAGAATGAACTAGACGGGGCGGTATGATGTCTTTTTTTCACGCTTACCAGCTGACCGCTTACCTCCGTATGGCTAGTTTTCCTGCTGTTACCAGTTTGACCAGTTAGTTCACCATGTATGTCGGCGGACTGATCTGAAAATGTAGTAAAAATCAGGCAAAAAGGTCAATCAGTGCTTTTTAAAACACTATTGGTGGGGTTTAGGGAAGGAGGAGGGTGGGTCAGTTGATCGGTCAGTCAGTCAATCAGTCAGTCGACAGCGGCTTTTGGTGGATTTACGTTAGAACAGCATGCACGAATGACACTAGCAAGAGAAATTTGAGATCTGAAAAAGTGTACACAGCGCCCTCTAGTGGATTTTTGAAAACAAAAACCGAAAAAACGTTGCTTCTGGGACGTATTTTACAATCTCCAGAAATGTATACAGCGATAGGTTTTCAGAATGAGCTTGGGTTGAAGCTACTACCATAATAACTATTAATAAGCAGCAAATTAGGAGTTTATTAAGGCAAAAATCATTGTTAATGGTTTGTTAATATTGAGAATTGTACCTTAAACAATGAGTGTAGCAAAAAAAAATTATGTTACAAAAAATAGACATTAAAGAATGTAGTAATGACTGCTGAACATTCAGCTTTGCCATCACAGATAAATGATATATTGACAAATATTTAAATAGAAGTGATCAAATATAATAACATAACATAATATTACTGCTTTTATATTTGAGATCAAATAACTGTAACTTATTAAAAATACTCATTTCAAAATCATAATGACCTCAAAAAGTTCTAACAGCCAATCATGTGTTAGCACAAAACATGGGACATCTCAGATGATGCTCCATATCTCACAACCTAAATATAAAATGCACAAAACCTCAGTGGTCTCGGAAATCACTTAAAAGTCTATAAAAGTCTGTTTCTTTCTTCAACAACAAGCCATTAATGGAAGACAAAATCTCCCAAGTATTTATTTGTAAATGTTTAAGTAAATATAAGCCTATCTGTGTGTGTCTGTTAATATTTAGTAATGCCTTTCGTTTGGCTTTACACTAGTTGTAGAGAGCAGCTTCGAGATAAATGTACATGACAGAACGTGATCATTCAAAGCCTGTTCTTTATAGAAAAAGTGTAATCTGTATGAAAGTATTTTACCAGTCTCTCCTCCTCCTCCTCCTCCTCTGTGTCTGGCCCATTATTTTCAATCCAGCGGTCTGGCCTTACTTTTGGCAATGGTAACTGCAGCCCATGGGGAACAGGGCAGCTCAGGCCAGGGTGTGTCCTCTGCTGGCTGACTGCTCTGGAAACTAGGCCCGAAAGTACAGCCACGCTTCCCCTTCATCGGACACACTGCACAGAAAACACTGCAAAGACACACACTGACAGTTAAACATGTACTGTATGCTATCATGAAGAAGCGTGCATATGTGAACTTTCATTAAGCTGTGCAGGTGTAGGAGCTGTAAGTAATCTGTGTTACATTTGGTTGAACAAAAAGAATGTTTTATTTGGGCAGAAGAGTGTAATCCTGCTTTGTTTTGACCACTCAGAGTCCAGCCAACTCACGTACTGAAAAATGGTGCTTTTAAGCGATGCTTAAACCGTTTACTCCTAACTCAGCCTGATTGTGGAGTTATGGTGCTTAATTCAGATTGACTTTTGTATTAATGTTCAAGGCACATTCATAGCATTTTGTTTATTGTGCGGTGAAGCTTGACTTGTGATTGTAGCTTCACATTGTCAAGCTTCTCTACACGCAGGGTCTTGTGTAAATATATTTCTCCTTTTCTACTTGGACCCGAAGGTATTCAGAGCTTACTCTTTGTCTAGTGGTTTTGTAAAGGTCAGCACTGGATGAATATTTGGTCTGAGCATATTTGTAAAAGAGAAGCCTCTTAGCGACTTAAAGGGATAGTTCACCTCAAAATGTAAATTCTGTTTTGATTTATTAATCCTTCTCTTGTTTTAATTCTGAGAGGATAATTTGAAGAATGTTGGAAACTAATGAAGCCATTGGCCTCCCTAGTTTTAGATAGGAGCTATGGAATGTGGATAAATGGTGAGTACATTTTCATTTTTAATCGAACTGTCCCTTTAAGTCAGCTCAAAGTAGATGCTTTACTCGTTCTGCACAACTGCTTATTCTTTGATTACAATGATTCACTAATTTGTCACAACAAATGTAAAATAAAACTTTGGTTAAGTCAGCTTTTGGTCTCACTTAGCAGAAATATGGAATGTGAACTGTTTCGCTTTAAATGTCATTTTGCTTTGAGGGTGGGAGCAAGGACGCCTGTTTGTTTTGCACCTTATAGATATTACTCAAGTTTTATTTTGATGATGACTGTTGTTAACTTGACAACTAAAGGACTGTACATAGAAATAATTAAACTGCTTTTAAAACAAATCCTGTGTGTACTGTTTGTTTTCACTGTAAATCATAAACATTTCTTGGAAATTTTGAAACCGTAATTTATTGTATTTTCACAAAATCCTCCAAAGACATTGGCTGTTGTGATATATGGTGTCATTTATTTACAGTCTCACTGACTAGGGGTGATTTTCACAAACTTAATTCTCAGTTAAACTAGTCTGACCAACTAAAAGTTAACCAAGATTAACTTTTTGTATGACTGATAAAAAAAGAAAATAAAAGGTGACTGACTAGTTTATGCAATTAGCCTCTGTTGATTCATGCCACCCATTGTTGTAAATACAGTATACAATACTGTATATATACAATATATTATATATATTGTATGCCAGGACCTAAAATTTGTTTTGTATTTCCGTATTTTGTTTTGTATCATTTGTTCTGTTCTCATAAAAAAGACAGAAGAAAAATGAATACCATATTATAACTAAATAATAATTTTAGTAAGAAAATGGAAAGGGGTAATAAATAAAATAGAGGAATAAGAGTTAAAAGTATAAATTTGGGGCCAAAAAAAGATTTACTAAAAAAATTAAACAACTAAATTTTTAAATTCTGAAGTTTTTAAAGTTGTAAACAGTTTTTTGGTTTAATAAATGTTTGCACTAATGAACATAACGACACACTGCAGATTCAAATTCTCACACGGAACACTGGCGACCTCATGTGACAAAACATACGCATTTAAAAATATACGTTTTTATTCTGGATGTTTTGTGTAAGGATAATTATATATATATAAAAAATGCGCTTGTTTTGTGTCTTGCATTTTGGTATGTTTTAAATACTGTAAAACACTTTAATAAAAAAGTCTGCATGACATAACAAAAATGTAGCCTTTGATATGTGCTTTTTATTTTATTTTTGTGCATAATTAATTTACAAATACAGCAAAAACAGGCAAAAAACTAAAATTCCAAAAATAATTGATATTCCAAAAAAAAAAAAAACACAAAGCAAAACAATTAAGACAAAATCAAATGGAAGACATTCACAAGATGCTAAAAAGAGATTTAAAATAGCTTACAATAGACAGAGCTTTAACATTTTTACAGCTTTAAGAGACTTCATTAACAGAATAAGTTTGTTGACAAAAACCTTGTATAAAGGAGGAGATTTTGAAATTAGGCATTTGTGGATAAAGAAATTTACCATTTAAAATAATAAAATTAACAAAATTGTACATTTATTTATCACCATTTTCCAAATAACAAATAATTTCTTTTGCATTCAGTGTTATCAACATATTATTATTATTATTATTATTATTATCATCAGAATATTCAGATTAACAGTCTTGCTAAAATAATTGCACACTCAACAAATAAGTCACAAAGATTCCTCATGGTTTTTACAAAATGAACAGTCTTTCTCGATATCTGAAAATTTTGATTGGTGCTTTCTTAGTTATTTGGCAAGGCTTGAGATCAGACTAGAAAATTGATTAATATTGAGGAAGGAGGTCAATGCGACTATGGATGTAAATTCTGCATTACATATAAAGAAAGTAACAGATATAGCAGGGGTGAATTCGGGAGCAAGTCAAAATAAAAGAGGAAAATAATAAAGTACAGTGGCGATAGGCTACCTAAAAAACTTCTTTGCAAATGCCAGTAGCTGATCTGCAGGTGCTCTTTAGTTTGACAAAGCTAGTCAGTATGAGACAAAAAATATTTAATAATACTCCAATCTACAGACTACTCAAAAACTCCCAACTCAGGTTTTATGGCAGCAAAAAATAGATAGCTTTTTTTTTAGATATCGTGCTTTATATTGTGTATTGAAGAGTACAAGATTGATTTATGGAAGTGACTAAAACTGGAGAACTTTTAACTTAGGACTTTTAAGAGATGGTGCGCAATTTTCACAATCAAGAGATAATATATTCTAACTTATTATCAGCATTAAATGGTTTTTACAGTAGAGATAATCTTTAAGGCAGGACTTTCTGTGTGAAATTTGTACAAAATCTATACTAAAATAAAGAGAAACACAAGTAACATTTTTAATGAATGTCTCCTCACAGTAGAGGTGAATGAGGTGCAGAGAAGCTGACTTAAACTTGCTCAGTTAATGCAGTTGTTACCAATCATTGTTTACTTCACTTTGTCAGTTTATGGCGAAGGGATTGATCCAATAAGCCTATTGATGGAAAGTTCGCTAAAAAATGTCATGCTCCCTTGAAAAATTATTTTCAAAATACAAAAATAAGGTATTTTATTTTGGTTTTTTTGGCCGCTGTATTTTGTCGTTTATTTTGATACACCTAAAATTGAGGTATTTAGCATTTTATATTAAAATACATTTCTTTGTATTTTTGCCTAACTCTGTTCTTAGCTGCTGCTGAAGTTTCTCATGGGCATCATTTCAGTGCACTCTAGATTACTTTGGCACGTGATGTCTGTTACATTTCTCGTCGCTTAATAAGAAGTGCCAATCGTTGTTTTTAGTTGAGTTTTATAATTGATCGTTAATTTATTGTTATAAGTGTTATATTTTAATTGTATATATTTGGTTTATTAAGTATATAACTTTATTTAGATTTTTGTATGTGTAAGGTAACGTTTAAAATCTTGAAAATATAAAAAATAAATAAAAATAACAATTATGCTTTGTAATTTATGAAGTAAATGAACTTTCCGCTAGAGGGCAGAACTGTGTACCTCAAATGTTCCCATCATCGACAGAGTTTATCCGAAGAAGAGAGAAACGTTTAGCCCTCGGATGATTTTTTCTCCTTTCTATTTGATTTGTATTTACACCGTCAGTGTTTTTGCTCATAGAGGCATTTTCCGGTGAAAATGAATGATGATATATTGACCACTCTGAAAATACTGATCATTGGCGAAAGTGGAGTAGGCAAATCCAGGTATGAGACTTAAAGTTACAGATTCCAGCTGATAGAACAACAACAACAACAGCAGCAGCAGCAGCACATACACTGCATGAGCTTCTTAATAAAACAGATTGTTTTGGATTAAAAAAATACTCAGTATTTATCAACCGAGAGTATTCAAGGATACGTGTTTTCTTAAATACCACATCCAGTACACATTTGCAGATGTGTGCGACTCTCTCTATGCGTTGTAAAGAAAGTGTAATTCCTAATGCGAAGCTGCCAAGGTTAACCATTTTTAATTTCCTCCCTTCTCTTTCTTAGTCTTCTTTTGAGATTTACTGATGATACATTTGATGCAGAAATTGGTGCAACAATAGGTAAGTCCATGTAAAATGATAAATGTTTAAAAATAAAGTAACGTTAATGATTATAAAGGGTCTAACACGCTAACAAAAACAGTGGAGCAAAGTTAGGTATTGAGGAAATGTTGGTCCTATATTCGCTCATTTTGACTTTCTCCTTAATAATATCATTTCAGTATTCTTTGCAAATTCTAAATGGTGAAACCGTATTTCAATGACTATAAAATAACAGCATTGTTCACGGTCAATTAAATAGTGTTAATGTTGTTTTGAAGTCATACTTGAAAGTGATTTCAGACTGAATATTCAAAGTACCGTGGTAAATAAAATACAAGAATAATAATATATAGTAGGAAGCATGTCATTACCAAAAACCAACTTTAACTTATCTCTATAAGTGAGGTAAGGTTTTATATTCCCACTTTCTGACTTGCTTGTCAAATAATTCAGTAAAGCTGCATTTCATCGTCAACAATTTAAAGCTTTAAATCAAAGTAAAAAGTTGAAAATCCTTAAGGATTGGCAATAAAGGCACAGTTTACCCAAAAATGAAAACTTTTCCATCATTTACTCATTTTTCAGTTCTTCCACAAAGGAAGATATGCTGACGAATGTTGTACAATAGAAACCATCGACTTCAACAGTATTGTTTGTTCCTATTATGTATGTCCCTCCAACATTCTTTAGAATATTTTGTTTTGTGTTCACCAGAAGAAATTAATAGTTTTGTTTCTCATCACTGGCTTGCTTGGTTTGGCACTTGTGGCACTTGGCACTGTGGAGCTGCCCATCGATTTGCTCTTCAGTGTTTGGACTTTCAGCAGTGATAATTAAACCACACTAAGCTGAACTTAAAATCTGAACTGACAGTTTCAATTGACCAGAACTTCAATGTTAAGTTGCTTTGACATAATCTACATTTTAAAAGCGCTGTAGAAATAAAGATGAATCGGATTGAATTGAAAAAAAGTTTAGAACCACTTGAGTGTGAATGAATAGAATGACAATAGTGTGGAAATGTAAATTTTTAGGTGAAAATCCCTTTATATATTGCAGCACTGCAAATAATGTAAAACAACAACAAAAATAATACGCTTCAGCGTTTTTATTTACCGATACAAATATCCAAACAACCTTGGATCAAGATATTTCAGATATAAATATGAAAATTAAGTTGTGCTTTGTTACATATTAAGTGAGTTTATGCTTCAAGCAAAAACAAATATCTTGTCAATGAATTGTAATAAGTGTCAAAGTCTGAGAAAAAAAATGTTTTAAGCACATTATCACAAAAATCAAGACCTCATTTTACATAATAAAGCTCCTTTTCTAAATCTTAATCACTTCGAGTTGGAATTAAATAAAAGTTTTCTCTTCTTATTTTTATATGTTTATAGTAGTGTTAGTAATAAATTAGGAATACAGTGCTCAGCATCACACCCCATTTTGAAAATAATTTTAGATGAATATAGGCAATACATTTTGGCGTATGTAAACAACAGTTTTATTAAACAGATATATTTATTAAAATAATATTTTAGTCACCAAACATATTTAGAAACTGAAACATAATACAATTACATTTAATTACAAAATTTCAACTAAGTTTTTCTTTTCTTTTCTTTTTTTCTGCTTCTCTTGATTTTTCCTTTTTTTTAAATTTGTATTTAATATTTTTTCATACCATATAAATTTGGCTGTACTAGTTTTTGGACCATTATCATAAGTTATTTTGTTAGATAAGCTCCAGATTTGGCTTCAGTACTGACTAATCTAATATAAATGCACAAATGTAATACTGCACAGCTTCCTGTTACAAATATGAATTTAAAAGAGAGATTTGTGAGGGGTGTACTCATATATGCTGAGCACTGTATGTGCACTTCATTATTTTGTAAAATTTAATTTGCCCTTGCAGTCTTTAATCAAACATCACAACCTTCTCTACCCTTCGATACAACATTGCTTCACTTCTGGTTAGATGGAATGTTTTTTGGGAGGGGCTATCAGGGCGTATCTTGTTTCTGTCCTGCATTCATCCATTCCTCAGTCTTTCTTCAATTTGTTAGCAACACCTATATTTCAACAATCCAATCAGTTCCCGAAGGATGAAATCATGCACCTCCCTACATTTGTTTTTTAAATTTTTAATGGATGTACATCAAGATTGAATGAAAAAAGGTGAATCTTAACTTTGATGCATTCACCTTTAATAATCATTAAACATTTGTAATGGAAAACAAGACAAAAATACTGATAAAGAGTATTACTTTTTTACACAATGGTCAGAAGGTCTTTGCATGGTACCAAAAAGTAATTAATCTTCGATGATGACACCTGTAGAAAACCTGTTGACTTATAGTTTGTTCTTGGTGTGTGACGTATAGATTTTTTTACAGGTCACATATTTGTTGTGTAAGCACGAGAAGCTTGCTTTCCTGGTTGCTCGGTTAATGACAATCTATAAAAACAAATATCTTCTGATTACCCTGAAGCCAACATCAGTCACACATGCTGCTCTAGATCTGGTTTTACTTGAAAACCAACATCACATTCATCGCTCAAATTCTAGACCTAAATTTAAAATTATGAAAATCTAAAAGTGCATTTATTCATGTTAAACATTGTTCAGGGGCTACATTAACACTAATGTCTGTGCAATGAAAATCAACACATGATCCACTGCTTCTTATGTTGTGGAAATCCATCGGTTGTCAAAGCAGTGACACATTAAAAATTGATATGTGTATGTGTGACCGCCGTTTTCGTTTCAAAGCCCTCCAATCCAAACCAAACACATCCAGGTCTCCCTCTTCCTCTGGTAAATCTGTCAGTGCTGTGCTGAAATTCGGCAGTACTTCATGCCTCCAGATCTTTCATTCACAGAGTGCTGAGAGATTTATTCCCCCGTCGTCTTTACACATACTTTCATTTTTCTTTTATGAATGTAAATCACTTATGTTTGTAAGTGATGTGGCTTTGCTGAGTGATGAGGCAGGTGGTTGATTCGTCCTATTTTCTTTTTTATCTGTACGTATTAAACCCACAATTCCCCGTTCTGCTGTAAATTTTGGGATTTTTAGCTTTAGTCACTCTGGGCTTGTTGCCTGACAAATATCTCGGTCCATCAAAAATTAAATCGATCTCACTATATATGTATGGTTTTACCATAATCCTCATAAAACTTCTGGACGGTAATCTTGAATTTTTACAAACGTTTAATCTGTCCATCTAATTATGACAGTATTTATGTAAAAATCTACAAAATTAAATAATTATTTATAATAAACTAAAACTGATGTATATATAAAATGTAGTTACATTTTATTTTATGTAATATTTTATTGTAATATTTTATGTAATAATTTATGAATATAAAAATAAAAATAAATAGTAAAAACATAAAGAAAAACAATTATATAAAAAAAGAAAAAGTAAGAATACAAGTAAACTCACTAAACGTGATTTGTTTTTCATTCAGGTGTGGATTTCAAGGTGAAAACGCTGGCTGTAGATGGAAACCGAGCAAAACTAGCAATCTGGGTAAGAAAGCAAGTGTTTTATTTCCTCCTGTCTTATACATGTGGAGTTTAGAGCAGCATTGCCTTATGTTTTTAGAATGATAATAACTTATCCACCTTTTTTGTGCATTATTTTATATTATGGGGTTGTCTTTGTGCTTTTTCTATTTTTTTACTCTTTAACCTGCACTTTTAGAACATACATTTTTACCAATTTCTTCATTTAAATTGTGTTGCTGACACCACTCTAGCTCAACCTAAGGACTGTTAAACTAAGTCGATATAAGTTTGTGTTTTATTTGAGCAAACTCGAGACGGAAAGTTGGTTTTAATCTGGTTTCAACACCATGGTAACTTGCACTGCTTAGCTAACTTGCTCCAGAACAGGAATTATTCTGGGATAGAGATTGCAAACTAAAACTGCACCAGTCAGTTGGGAGTAAAGTAAAGTTTATTTGATGTAATAAACCCACTCCTAGTCCACTAGCATCTTTTTTGCGTCAAATTAAAGCCTTTTACAATGAATCATTTCTGTTGCTAATAATTTATTCATGTGGCTTATAATTATTTATACTTTTATTATGTTTGAACATTATTTATTTAAATAGGGCTGTGCCGATAAATAATATTATATCGAATTGCAGTAAAATGTATGTCAATAACAATAAGCTCTGGACTTTATTACTCTATTGGTCTAAAATCCAATCTCACAGCAGAAATGTAGAACAATGGGAAAAGTGTGTTGATATTAGAGACGTACCAAATTTTCTACCACTAAAAACTTATCAGCCAAAAATATATTAAGCCATTTAATGGACCCTGTAATTTTTGTGACTTCAGCCATTGTTGGGATACTCTTTTTAAATCTGGACTCATTAACAACTTATATTGTCATTGTTCAATATGAAAAATAATTAATGAGATAGCATTTTTTCTCCCAGCCCAATATTCAAATAATTTTGACTTTTAAAAGTGGGGGACAGCTGAATAAGATCCAAAAGTTTATGTTCATATAATTATTAATGACCTGTTTCTAAATGGTCTGTCTGTAAAAGTGAGGGGGAAATATCCCCCGTCCCTCCCAGTTGCTATACCCCTGATAGCATTTATACATAAAGCTTTTAAGCTGTTGGTAAACCTATAATATTAAAATCAGTTGATTGATTTGGATTTAATTAATATTATTCCTTTAAGTTTCCTTTTCAAGCTTTTGCTGAATCAACAATGGTTATTACTTTCTTGAAAATATGTTTCAATCCATCATATAAAAAAACAAAACAATGAAATCTCTTCAGCAGAGAAGTGAATTGCTCTTACTTACTTCCTTTTTTTTTGAGTAATCTTTAAAACTGACACTCGAATGTGATGTTTGATTGGCTGTTTGCTGAATGTGCAACACCTCCAGCTGCATGTGGTTCAGAGTTGTTCACAAACTCTGTTGTAAGTTTACAGAACATTTATATAAAGCATTGTGAAACCACTTAACCTGATCCTAACCAGGTTGGATTTGTTTGGTTTTGTCAACTCGAAACTTAATCTGCAACTTGTAGTTTGTTCAACTCATTTTGTGCAACAGGCCTCAGATGGTGACAATGTTTAGAGGTAAACAGGAACAGCTCATGTTGTAAATGTTATTTTAAAATAATCTGTAGATCAAATGAAGTCCCTTAGCAGAATGTTTGTAAGAGTCTCTATAATATCAGAATTTGAAACTAGAAATTGACAGTACAAAAGAGATTAGAGTTAATTGACAATAATAATAACTCTCTCATCCGATTTAGATATTTTCATGTGCAAAATTAATACATCATATATTGTAAATATATAATATATTTATGCATTATTAACTTTATTATCCAATCATCTCCAGGAAAATTACTGTATACGACAAATGTAACAACTATATAATGTCAAACTCAGTTCCTAGATTGCCGGAGCTCTGCACAGTTTAATTCCAACCCTAATTAAACACACCTGATCAAACTAAGTCCTTCAGTCTTGTTTGAAACTTGCAGGTAAGTGTGTTGAAGCAGGGTTGGAACTAAACTGTGCAGGGCTGCTGCCCTCCAGGATCTGAATTTGACACCCCTTAACAGTTCACAGTGTTTCAGTTGTGCACCACAAGATGGCAGTGTTTCCTAAGAGAAAAGCATCTTTTTTAAATATATGTAATAATAATTCAAATAACCATTGTTACTTCTTTTTAACACCATTTCTCTTAAAGGCTGATTTGTTGTGTGTTTACAGGATACAGCAGGTCAAGAACGTTTTCGGACTTTAACACCCAGTTACTACAGAGGAGCTCAGGGTGTCATTCTGGGTAACTGTTCACTGTTATAGTAATGATTAGCATTAAAATATCAATTCCAATTGTTGAATAATCCGATGTTGTAATTTTCTGTTCACATTGTGTCTTGTAGTGTATGATGTCTCTAGGCGAGAGACATTTGCTAAGCTGGATAATTGGTTGAGTGAGCTGGAGACGTACTGTACAAGAAATGATCTTGTCAAGATGCTAGTGGGAAACAAAATCGATAAGGTGAGTTCCACTTATATTACTGCTCACTCTCAAAAAAAAAAAAAACACCTGCCTGTGTATTAAAACCTGACATGGAGCAGCTTTCTGCTTGGCATTTATAATATACACGGCACCATATGTGTCTACAAAAAATCTTTATGGATAAGCAATGTAATTAGTAATAACAACTAATAAGAATAGCTCGTGCCCCCTTTTCCCCTAATGTACACTACTTTACTGTACTATTACTGCATTAGGTCTTTTCTACTATATAAATATAGAGTTACATCTTGTATTCAGTCTTTTGTTTATTGTTGATATTTTTGATTATTTGTTCGGTCACACTTTACAATAAGGTTCATTAGTTACTCTTAAGTAATGCATTTACTAACATGAACAAACAATGAACAATACATTTACTACAGTAGTTATTCATGTTAATAAACATTAGTTAATGATAATACAGTAGTTCATTGTTAGTTCATGTTACCTCATGGTGCATTAAATAATGTGAACAAGCATGGATGTTAATAATGCATTAGTAAATGTTCAATTATGATTAATAAATGCTGTACAAGTGTTGGTTATGATTAGTTCATGTTAGTAAATGCATTAACTAATGAACTTTATTGTAAAGTGTTACCATTTGTTCCATATTTATTATTGTTGCTTGTGTCTAAGAGCTACCAAACAAAATGACAATACACTTCTAATTATAAAAAAAAAGATGTTCTTGAAATGCTGATTTTCTCTGCAGGATGATCGTGAGATTGAGCGAGAGGAGGGCCTGAAGTTCGCAAGAAAACACTCCATGCTTTTCATAGGTAAGTCATCTGTAGGATGTACTTTGATGAATAACCCGAGCCCTCATTATTCACTAAACCGCAGGCTTTAAATAGTCATACATTGCCCTTTTACTTTCCCATATTTCATTTCAAGATTCATTACTTTAACACATGGAAAAATCCGACTTTTGACGTCAGCTAGTTTATTCAACTGCTGTACTACACACATGCTGCTATTTTTAAACACTCGGGCCCATTCACTAAAAACAAAGATTATGTTATTTAATTGAGAGGATGGATTGTTTGTATGAGTTGTCGTTCATTTATTATGACAGCAAATTCAAGTCAGACTTCACAATGCTCTTGAGTTATTTCTTGTATGATGGTAGCAGTGCTGTATATGTGTTTGCGGGTGACGTCCTGCATTCTTCTGCGCTGTGGGTTTGGTTTGCAAGTCATGTGACGCACCTCATGAGTGGGGATGTAAGCAGTAATCTGTTTGAATTAGCCGTGAAGCCCTCACACCAAATGAACTCTGCAGATGGACAATATGGCTAGAGCCCGTGTGCTGGAGGCCAATGGTTTTTTTTTTTCTTTCTCAAATGTAGTGTTTCCTATTCCTTTCTACTTTCTGCAGTTTTCTTTTTAAATTAAATGTGAACAGTTTATTGCTTCTTTGCACATAATTCACCATGCATTATTTCCATTATGGCAGCATTTACATAAACGTACACATTTGTAAGTTTAGGGTCACGAAGTTTATGTTTTAAAAAATATATATAAATTTTATTAAGCAAGTATGTGTTAATTGTGACCGTATTTAAAATGTAACAGAATATCTATTTATCTATCCATCTTACACTTTTTCTGTTTTCATAGTTAGTGTTTTTTTTATTTATTTGTTTTATTTATTTATTTTATTCTTATTTATAGTCTTTTCTTAACAGTTGCTCATTTTGGGTTATAGATATTCACAAAAACAGAGAGAACAATGTCAATTGTTCAATTTTATTTTGTGAAGAGCCAAGATGGCTTTGTAGAAAAAGCAAGATAGAAGGTTCCTCGGAAGTTGATGCTGTTTGTATTTTTGTAAAAGTGTTGAAAGCTCATTTGAAAATAGATTTTAATTATTACAGTTTATTGAGTGATCTTAATTTTTTCCCAATATATGGTGCTATAAAGATGTGTTTTGTTCTGTTGTAGAAAACAATTAAGTTTTCAACAATTTGTTCTTTTAGGATTGTAATATTTTGTTGATTTCTTGTAGGGCTGCACAATATTGGGAAAAAAAACTGACATTGCAATACATTCATTCATTGCGATATGAATGAAATTTCAGCAGATGACTTGGATAGCTATGTAAAGAATTTACATAAAATATGCAAATAAAATAAAATGATTTATGATTTTCTGACAAGTCAAATGGTAATCAAAAGCAGAAATTAAATAATCAATGTGTTTTTAACCTTAAAAACACATGCAAATATTAAACTTTCACTCTCAAGTTTTTGTTTTTTAAATATTTCCCAAATGATGTTTAACAGAGCAAGGACATTTTCACAGTATTTCTGATAATATTTTTTTTTCTGGAGAAAGTCTTAGTTGTTTTATTTTGCCTAAAATAAAAGCAGTTATTAATTTTTAAACACCATTTTAAGGACAATATTATTAGCCCCTTAGCTATCTTTTCCATAGTCTACAAAACAAACTATCATTATACAATAATTTGCCCAAATACCCTAACCTGCCTAGTTAACCTACATTAACTAACCTAGTTAAGCCTTTAAATTTCACTTTAAGCTGTATAGAAGTGTCTTGAAAAATATCTAGTAAATTATTATTTACTGTCATCATGACAAAGCTAAATAAATCAATTATTAGAGATGAGTTATTAAGACTATTTTGTTTAGAAATATGTTGAAAAAGTCTTCTCTCCATTAAACAGAAATTGGGGGAAAAAAATAAAAAGGGGGTGAATGATATATATTATTTAATTATGAAGACAATTGTATTATGTCTTACAAGAAACAAACTATTTCAGTCTTTTTAATTCAAAATCACAGACTTATTTGTCACCATTGTACTAGCAATTTTATGTTAGGCAATTTTATAGTACATCTTTTATTTTATGAGTACTCTTTCTTTCTTCCTTTCCTTCTATTTAATTTTCGTATAGCGCTCACAATTCATCACATCCTATTCTCCAGGTGTTACAGACCTCTTTAGTGCACACTAGGGTATATACACTACCCGACAAAAGTCTTGTCATCAATCCCAGTTGTAAGAGTAACAAATAATAATTTGACTTCTAGTTGATCATTTGGAAATGTGGCAGAAGGTAAATTTGTCAGATGAATCATCTGTTGAACTGCATCCCAATCATCATAAATACTGCAGAAGACCTACTGGAACCCACATGGATCCAAGATTCTCATAGAAATCAGTCAAGTTTGGTGAAGGAAAAATCATGGTTTGGGGTTACATTCAGTATGGGGGTTTGCGAGAGATCTGCAGAGTGCATGGCAACATCAACAGCCTGATTTATCAAGACATTTGTGCTGCCCATTACATTACAAGCCACAAGAGAAGGACAAATTCTTCAGCTGGTCAGCTGCACAATATTAACTCCTTTCCCACTGCACCAGGACTTTATATTCTATACTGTCCATTATTTCTGTTAAGTGACAAGACTTTTGTCTAAGCAAAGTCAGATTTGCTGTCCTAATTAAATAATTAATAATCAAGCCATGATCATATTTTATTTTGCTAAAATAAACATAATCTTCATATAAGCCGCTTCTGATACCAAATGATCAACTAGAAGTCAAGTTAGTATCTGTTGTTCCTAAAACTTGGATAGACGACAAGACTTTAGTCAGGTAGTGTACTCATCTCTCTTTCTCTCTCTATTTCACCCAGAGTCCAGTGCTAAAACAAGGGATGGTGTCCAGTGTGCCTTTGAGGAGCTGGTGGAGAAAATCCTGCAGACTCCAGGCTTGTGGGAGAGTATGCATAAGTCAAGAGGAGTTGCCCTGTCTGAACTCTCTGAAAGTAGTCAAGGAGGCTGCGGGGCGTACTGCTCACTTCTCTAACACGCACACTGGTGTTTAGACAGTGCAGGTTAGATTAGTTAACCCATACAAAGGATACATATGCCTTTTTGGTAAGTGTATCCCCGCGAGCACACAAACAAAACTTTCATAAGTATTAATCATTTAACAGAGCTGACAAAAACAAAGAAGATGGCTGGAAATAGATAAGCTTTTCTTGTGTTAAAATTCATTTGACGATTTTTATCGAAGGCATGCTGATCATTTGTATTCAGGAGGGGGATAAAAAAAAAAAAAAAAACTTGATTACTCCATAATACCTCAGATCAGTTTGCTTCTCGGTTTGTATATTGCTCGTAATGTTTTACTTTGTTTTGTCCCAGTGCCTGTGTTTCTTATTTAGGAAGAGGTAAACACTCATCAGTCTAACTCGACCTTTCAAACTGCTGGAATGAGCTCTCAGTAGAACACAGATTTCCATCAACATGCCCTCTCTTGATGTCTGCAACGTGCGGAACTCCGTTCTTTCTTTATCTGTCCATCTTTGGATCCCATTTTTTCCCTACTGTCAGTCACTTGTTAACTTTAGTTCCTCCCTCTCTCTCACTACATGTATCTGTCTTCAATTCACTTCCACCATTCCCTCTGTTTCTCCACTGAATAATAGAGTTAGCAAGCGTTTGGATCTGTGTTTTACTGCTTTTATTGACTTGGGCCGCCCACTTCAAAACATGTTTTTGAAGGGTTTATAAATCAAACATATTGGCGCAATGAATCTCTCTTTTGTACATATAAACAGAGGGTAAAACTGGCTAAAAATAAAACTTGCCTTCAGACTTATGGACAGTGTAACATGTCTGTCCATCATAGAGAAGAAAAAAAAAAGATCCTCACAGTGTGACTATAGATGGTTTTTACGCACAGAGAAATGGAACAAAAGAACACATTTAGAAATAATAAATGTTCATCCCAAAAATGCACGGCACTTAATGGCGATGCCAAATGAATATTTCCATTCTCCCGGTTTAATCTGGACTATTTGATCTGGACTATTTAGTCTGTTCTGTTTGCTTTAGAGAAACATCCAGGGGGTCCCAGATGTCGAGTCTTGTATTCATTGCTTAAAAACTGGGTGGTAAAGTCCTTTCGAGAGCCAACTTCAGTTATAGCAGTTTTAGAAAGTGTGTGGCACATGTGGAAGGAAACGCAGGGTTTGAATGCACACCCACAGAAAAGTCCTCATTTTTGCATTCCTTTTTACTTGTTTTGATATTTGCTGATAATTAGAAGCTGATTTATGTATTGGGTGGTTTCAAGTTGCATGCAATATGTCTTATGTGCATTTTTAGGGCAGTTATATAGTATCTAATTGTATATTTTTTTCACTATTCATCATCATATAATTCTATATGAGAGTTAATTGCCATTGATTGAAGGACTTTTGGTTTAGGTTCTTCACTGTTTTATGGATATTTATGTCCAAACCTTATGAGTATAATACACAAGAATGAGTTTACGCAATATTGCCTACTGTTATTGCACATTAATTACTCTATGTAAATATTTGCTTATGATGGTCATAAATATATTGTAATGTTGATGTGTGAGTCTCTGCACTATAATGAAATGACAATATTTTGTCTTTGAATACCTTCTTTCTTTCTCTCTTTTTCACATTCTCTCATATTTTTTCCAGCAGTGAGTTCTTGTTAAATATGACCCACCACAGGAATGTATCTCCAGGCCTCTGCGATTTCACCGTTTCCCGTTACATTTCTGCGTGAATGCTGTAGTGACTGAGGTGTTTGCTTATTCATGCGTTCGGTCGTCATCTTCATATGGTTTCCGTGATCATTCAATGTGTTGAATCCAAATTATTGCATTTAGATGGACAGGCAGGTTGGGTAACCATAGAGATTGCAGGTTTTCAGGTTTTTCTGCCCTTTGACCAGGAGGTGTGTAATTCCTAGATGACAAATGAATGTCTGGCTCAAAGATCTTTTTGGATGCAAAATTATTTGAAGAAAGTTTGTGTCGATCATACATCAGCTCTGCTTTGCGGTGTCTGTACTCTATTGTTCTTATATGACTGCTAGACCTGTAATTCAGTATGTTGAATTTCTCCTCTAAATGCTCCCACCTGCCAGTTTCACCTTTCTCTTGGATCAGGAATGGATATTCCAGGCGCAATTTCATAATTGCTTAATATAATACTGAGGCCTAATTTCTGCTTAGGGTTAGTAGAAAATCTTGGTTTGGAGTAGTTTTCTAAGTATCGGTGTCCAAATTTTAATATTTGCGGGTGACCAACCATTCTGGTCTTTTCAGGTTAATTGTGTAAAGCTACTTCTTTGGATTCTTTCGCACATCTTTGCTGAGTTTTTAACATAGCATTATTTTTAGGAAGAAGTGAGTTATAATGTGTTTAATTGTAAAAAATCTCATACTTGATGTTTTTTAATGACAACTGTTATTAAGTTTATTATTCTTCATTATCTGTTCTGCCTTATTTCACATAATTGTTGATTTTGTAAATGTTATGATTTATGGTACCAGGATACAATTTGCATGGGCTTATTAAAAATTGGGCAGTAGAAAAGGAAAAAGGTTGCCTGGTACAATATTATTTTAGCAAACTAAGACTAAAAATATTAGTCAAAAAACATTTTCATTAATTGAATTTTTTTTTTTACAATAAATAAAAAACTAAAACTAAACAAAACTAACAACAGAAAAAACTGAAATAAAATAGTAATTAGCAAACACAAATAATCCTTTTCATGTTTCTTATGCACTGTTTAGAGAAAAAACAGAAGATGTTGCTTCACAGTCAAACACAAGCTCATGATTATACAAACAGATCTTTCCTATATAAACAAAATGTGTTCTAACCTTTTCTTTATTTGCAAAAATAAATAAATAAAAAAAACCTATAAAGTATGATGTTTAATATTAAGAAGAATTACTAAATTTTTACTTTTATTTGGACATGGATCAATCTTACCTTGTTTACTTTTGCACCTTGGCACACTTTGGGCCTCTTGGTAACAACTGAGCGTCACAGCCTACTTAAGTGTTGTTGCTGATCATGTTCATTTTTTATAAGCATATAGAGAACCAATCTTGTGATGCTACTGTACGTTCAGCAGGAAAATTTACCGTCACAAAGGTCAGATGATTTTAAACTGGCTTAATCCAACAGAGCACCTTTAGGATGTCACACAACAGAAGATTCACATCATGTAATCAGAAACTGCCTAATGCTATCATGTAGATCTGATTTTATTTTTTATTTGTTGAATATGTAGTGTGCCGTGAATAATAATATATTTCTAAAGGCTTAAGCGGGTCCAACTTTGTACTACAAGCAGTGATGGAAAGAGTAATGAAAAAGCATACTCAATTAAAAGGACCATTACTTGCCTAAAAATGTAGTGTAAGTAGAGTAAAAGTACCTGTTGTAAATATTACTCACAGTACGAGTAAAAAGTAGCCATAAGTACATAAGTACTCATAAAAGTACTCATGAGTAGTTATTATTATGCTGATAAAAGTTGATGCATTTACATGTAATTTGTGGATGTGTGTAAATGTAACATTCTGTAGTGCATTTAGTTATTGCCCAGCAGGCACACAATGTCATAAGACGTTAAATTTAGGTTAGATTTAGGTTGTGATGTCAGGTGACCAAAATTTAATGTCTAGCCAGCGTCTAAGGACAACATTATTTTGATGTCCAATAATGACATCAAATGACGTTGATATTTGGTTGATTTTAGGTTGTTAGAAAGTGACCAAAATCCAATGTCGAGCCAACATCTTAAACCAACATCCTATTGACGACAAATTCTGACATTTATTCATCAGTTATGGCAACCAAAATTCAACATCTGATAGATGTCATGGTGGTAACGTCGACACAACGTCAAGCTGTAACATCATTAGACGTTGAAATTTGGTTGGTTTTAGGTTGGACGTTGGACATTGACATCGGGCTGACGTTGAGTTCTGATGTAAACCCAGTTTTCATTTCTAAACAAAATGCAGGGTTTCCACAACATTGAGGTACAATTTCAATCTGACATCATGTTGACGTCTTGTGCCTGCTGGGTGTTTAAGGCCATTTCGGTCATCATACAGTAAATATCCATCATCTTCTCATCAGTGACATGCATCTAAACCAGGGGTGCCCATACTCCTGGAGGGCCGGTGTCCTGCAAAGTTTAGTTCCAATCCCAATTAAATGGACCTGGGCTAGCTAATCAATCTTATACTAGGCTTTCTAGAAACATCCGTGCAGGTGTGTTAATGTAAGCTGGAGCTAAAATCTGCAGGACATTGGCCCTCCAGTGTTTGGGCATCCCTGATCTAAACAGTCTCTGGGTCAATGCGTGTAAAGATTTTGAACATCTTCTTGCACACTTTAATGCTTCCAAACAATTTGCTGCAATGTAAAGTGCACATGTCTAGAAGTAGTTCATTATGGTGCAATTTACCTTCTATGTGTGATTTGATTGGACAGGAATTACTGGACTGATTTTTCTAATTCCTATAAACAAGAAAAAATAAAGTAGTAACTGCAGGTTGAAGGAATGTAGTAAGAGTAAAAGTACAGATACTGCACTAAAAATGTACTCAAGGAAAAGTAAAAGTACACATTTTTAAAACTACTTAGTTTTACACCCAAAAACCGCCACCCACCAATCGTGGCTTAGCAATCGTAGCTACACGCAGGAGCTCCTTCAAGCGTTCGAGTGTGGGAAACAAGCCAAAGCGTTGTGCATATGGATTGTGCAAATCTGGTACCCGGTATCCTTAAAGTTTAGACAAGGTGGTGGAATTTTTTCCCCTTTCAAAACCAAAGGAGAAATGCCATTGTGGATCAAGCTCTGTGAGGGGCGCTATAAGGAGCGAGTTAAGTGATTTGGTGATAGACCGATGACAATAACTCGCACACCTCTTACCCTAAAAAGATCTAAACTGTGTTTCTTACAAAAATACAAAGCAGGTTATGTTTCACAGTGGTCTTTTTTTTCTTTCTTTTTTTTTTTTTGCTCTATATTATGAGCACTGCTCCGTTTGCCATAGTCATACTAATAGTGAATAGGTCATGTCATTGATCAGGAAAATACGAATCTGCGAATCTGCTGCTAACTTTACTGAACTTCATATTTCCATCTATTTCAAGCTGCAAATATTTTAAATTACAAATCAACAGAACAAACACAGAGATGCGATCAATATACTTTACCAGCAGCTGTTTTTCAGTAAATTATAAAGAGCACACAAACATACTGACAGTTATAGGTAACATTGTTATGGGTCAATGATGCTAATACTCGGCACAAATCTATCAATTTCCCCTTTCTGATTGTTCTTTCTATGAATGAATGATGTAGAAGCACTGTCCATGCGTGTTTCCTCGTCGGTTAGTAACGCTATATTTCATTGCACAACAATTAAACTAGCAGGCTTTTGGGCTAAAAAAAAGAGAAATCACGGCTTATTTGTTATTATTATTTTTAAATTTAAATTTCACCTATCCTGCTGAGCTTGAGCTAAGCTGTTGAATGGTCAGCGTATGAGGCGGCTAGGCTAACCTAGCTTCAATTTTGATTGAATTATTCTCTAATCAGTTGCCTATTATGTGGTGACTATACCCCTGTAATGCATACTGCAGTCCATTTTTGTCTGGCTTTCTCCATGGAGGAGGCAGACCCAGCCCATTCACTGCTTTGTCCTGATCGCACTTTGCGCCTTTACATGGAACAAACACAAAACTTAAGATCTTGTGAACAACTTTTTATCTGTTATGGTAGTCGGCAGAAAGGATGTGCCGTATTAAAACAGAAGTTAGCCCACTGGATAGTTGATGCCATCGCCCTTGCTTACCAATGCCAGGGCAAGCCTTGTCCCCCGAGCGTGAGAGCACACTCTACTAGAAGTGTCGTCTTCTCTTGGTCGTTAGTGTGCAGTGCCTTTCTCAGAGATATCTGTAGAGCTGCAGGCTGGGCAACACCTAACACATTGCGAGATTTTATCATCTTCGAGTGGGTGTAACCCCAGTCAATCGGGAGGAAATTAAGCTCAGTGTCAAAAATGCTTGCTGCGCCATGCTCCCAAACCTGGAGATACATACGTTTGTTTCTACTCTGCTAGAAAGCTCCCCGTTGGAAAACCCTAGAGAATTCCTCCAAGACCCCTAGCACCCAACTCAGTGAAGGAGCCGGGTGCCTGGCTCAGTTTGATGCCTGGTATGCCCACTTGATTACTGAATGGGTCCTTGACACGGACCAGAGCTTAGAAACGCTGCTTTAGAAGATCTGTGCTTTCTGATTCCCAGGCTCTGTCCACTCTTTACACTAAACTAAGCACTTCTATTAGTACATTTCTGTCTAGGCCATCAGCCCGTGTCTCATTAACCACTGTCTTTTATGCTTACATTCCCCTTCTCTTTCGTGCGTGGCTCTGTGCTCAGACGAGCTCTCTGTGGGCTCGTTACACTGTCCTGCATGAGATCATTATGAGGCTGCATTGTTGGTTTCATTTGGTGTCAAGTTCCCCAAACGTCACAGCATTTGGCCTGTTCACGTGCCCTGT